CTCTCTCTCTCTCTCTCTCTCTCTCTCTCTCTCTCTCTCTCTGTACCAATATTAACACCATATACCGTGATGGATCATACGGCTTAACACCGCGTCAGATTTCGCGTCAGCTCGCGCACGGAATATCGGCGCTCGTGTGTGATTTTGACAGCGACATACGTTGCTCCTCCCTATTGTCTGACTCGTCGAGCGGATACATTCGGCGGGAGTCTTACCCGGGAAAGGAATCCGGTAGCGGCGAAGACGTATATTCGCGACAACCCCATTAATTACTATGGAATATTCGGAGAATGTCATATCATATGGAAGTTCATCGAGTTCTCCGACGCGCGACGCAGTTAATGACATAACGAGCGCTTGTTAATTTCTGTTTAATGTAGAACGGGATCCGATAATGCAAATTTCGCTTTCACTATGTTGCGGTTACATTATGCGCCGTTATTCATCATCTGCGATCAAAATTGTATCGACGAAAATGAAAAGAGAAGGCAGGAGTAGATTAGACGGTAAAATCAAGTTGATCTGCAAAATCAAGACCTTTTACTCTACAAATTTCATCTAAGAATTGTGTGATATAAAAATGCATGGCGCGAATTGCCGTCGAAACACTTTCCGGAAAATCAAAACCCCACCTTCTCCTCTAACGATAAAAAACATTGTTATCGTTTCTTATAACGTCACGCAGCGCTACCGAGCTATTATTACGTTATTCTATCAAAAGTGGCAGTCGACGAGTTATTGCATTAAATCTATGCATATCGGACACATCGTTACAGTTACGTTACTTGCATCCCTGCCTGAAAATTTTATTACGCGTGTCGTCGCACAGATAAAAGGGGAAAGTATGCGTGTGCGTGAATGGATATCCGTATTTTTTTCTTTTTTCCGCGTGTAACCTGCCGGACAAAACGGGAATCCATTACGGGGGCCTACGTAAGGAGTCAGGCTGTGCGCGCCCGCCCGTTCCCATGTAGCATTTCCATTTATATTACCTTATCGTTATTCTTCCGCGCTGCTTCTTCCCTCTTTTCTCGCTCGTTCGGTCCGTTTCTCTCTCCTACTCTTGCCGGTCGGTCGATTTCCTTTCCTGTTTCGCCGCTTGCCTATTCCCAACGAAGGACCACGGTGAAAACGCACTTGCTCGACCAGCCGGCCTCATCGCTCGCTTCGTACTCAATCCGATGACCGCCGATGTCGAAGCGACGACCCGGATTCTGCGAGCAGGACCAAAAAATATCATCACCGACCGAAATTGTGGTAGCGAAATGATAAGGGAGGAAATCTACCATGCGAAATACGTTTGCGCGAGCGTGAAAATCGTCTTCCGGGTAAGTTTGCGCGGGATTTTTGGCACGAGTCGCCAAAATCCCGTTTTCCAGGATTTATCCGTCAAAATTTACCGTATCTCCAGCTGGAAAATTATGCTTAACTAATTTTACACCCGCGGTTGCTCGCGGCCTCGTGAGAACGAATCCTTTTCACGTCCGAAATCGCTTTTACTCGCGCCGTCCTCTTCCTCCGTACTTTACCGTTCCAAAAATTTGCATAATTCATCAAAACGTACGAATTTTGAAACGAATAATGGAGTTATAATTTGAGTAATAATTGATGCTCGTCGACAAATAAGCCAATTAAAGCCGCTAATAATACACGTCACATTTCGAAATCGATGTCGCACGTTAATTTTCGGAACCAACGTTAATTAATCAATCAATCGGCGCGCTGCGGTTTTGCTACCAAAAGAAACTGTAACACCATCATATGGCATCTCGTTATTAAAGCATTCACGAGTGATTCATTCATTGGAAACCTATTTTATTACATGTACATCTATCGGATCATTTTCGCACATTTACAAAATGGCAATCTCGATATTACGTCGGATATTATCGCCGATAATGGGTATTTCCACGCCTGTAAAATATTAACGATTACTGAAAATCGTGTTCCAACCAGTCGCACAGTTCATGAGATTATTGAGCGCGTGTAACATAATACGTATCATTGGAATGCGATACGGTCGAATATGCATTCCGAGCGAGAGCTTTTTATGATGTATTATGCATAAACATTGATGGACTTGATTATCGCGATACCAACCAATTTTTGTTCACAACGCTGTGCTGAATATCAGAGATGAAAATGCATCGGATATTTTGTTTGATTATCGGATACCTATATGAACGTCGATTTATAGAACATACAATATCTATGCCTAATTGTGGCATTGCTAGCATTTCGCCTTTGTTCGAAATATAGAATTCCATTTTTCGTGAAATTAGCAAAAATTATCAAGTATAATCTCACCTCATTATTACTGATTCGCGTCACCTTCACATTATCCGTGAAAGTCGGCTCCGTCCATGTGATTGCCGTTCCGTTCTTTCCGATAACTTGGATGTCCCTCGGACAGTCTTTGACTTTCGGTGCTTCGCCACCTGGAGTTTGAGATTAGCAAATTGAAGTAATAGCGAATCTTTCGTACTCGTTTTATCGTCCTCGTTCCGTTCTGAGCGAGGAAATTGCAGACGGTAAGAAACTCCCCCGAATCGAATCGACGGCGTGTCAGAAAGTTCGATTTCCGTATCGTCGTCGAATGATGAATCGGCAACTTGGCAATCGCGAATGCGAAATGATGAAATAAATTCTCAGCGAAATTTATTTATCGCGCATTACGTAATATTTGTGTTATAATTAAAAAAACTCGCCGGCAGAAAACTAATTAATTTCCGTTTCTTCGCTTCTCCCTCTTTGCTACAATTTTTATTTAGATTAATGGACGGTAGAAAAAATTATATCTTTATAATTTTCCGGAAAAGTTGTGTATATAATTGAATATTTTTCCGTTTCCGTGTGTTTCAAAAGCACCAAATTCCGCGCTCGTTACATTCTCGAGGAAGAAATAGCGATTCAAGCTATGCACAGATTTGTCCGCAAAATCAGGCCAGCTTTCCTGAGAAAACTCATCGGCTCAAGTGTCAGTGATGAAGCTGGAGTTTGCATTAAATTAAGTTGCGCCAACCTACTTTTAGGTATAAATGAGAGCTACACTCTTACAAGAGATTCGCGGAGCATCAAATACAGTCCTCAAATGTCACTCGGTTAAACGAAACGAGCTACACTTGCATTGAATCCACTTAGAACGTCGCGCGTTAAATGGATTTATTTGGATAAATAAACGGCAACGAGATGATTTAAGGATTGTTCCTTTTATTTTTATCAAAGAAACCTTTTACCTTGGAAATTTTAAATACCTTACATTTTAGGTTTTAGTATGGAAGATTCTTTTTAGAGTTTTAACTCGATGCCAAGTCAAATCGAAATAGCACAACGAAAAGTAGTAAGTTCTTCACGAATGTCAGAATAATAATTTACCAGTCGTGCGACAGTAAGTTGCCAGTTTATTCAGAATCGTATGAGGATTTGAACTAGCGGTGCGCCGAACCGCTGAGCGTATTTCGCTCACGTCCCGGAAAGATGCATCAGAGTAAACAGGGATAGCACGAAGGGACGTAATATTCTTAAGACGTATTTTAAAAGATCTCCACGTTGAGGCATTAGCAGACGACAAGGAAAACTTTTCACGCAACGTTCGTTTGCAAAAAGACCTAATAATTTGCTAACTCAAACTGGCGTTTTTCTTCTTCTTGCACGTATATTACATTTGTAACAAGTATCTTTTTATGCAAATTTCAAATTACGATCCGTCGCGAAACCCAAGTAGGAGAAATATTTCAATCTCGCACTGTTAATCATTGAGAAACGTGCAAAGTTCGTGGCAGCTAAAATGATGTATAGGGGTCCCTATTCTGTTGTAGCTTATATATATTTAACATATGTTCCCCTCTCTGATAAAATTAGCCGACCTACATGTTATCTTTCATCTCTATCTGTTATTAATCAAGATTTACAGGATTCAAGAGACGTTTATTCAGTACCTTCCGTGGAGTGCAATCTCTATAATCCGGATTAATTAATGCGGGAGCGCATGCGGATTACCGAAGAGTAAGCGCCGCTAAATGATCATGTTTTTACGATGTTGTTATTTGATATGCGATATTTGATATGTAACAGTCACTAGTGCTTGTAACTTTGTAGTTTTTCACAACTCCAAATTCATAAATAACTGTTTAAATAAATTTTCGAATAATAATAAATATACATTTAAGAAATAAATCACAAAAATTACAAGGACTCGAAAAATTACACTACAGATTAGCCGGGTCAAAAGGAGGACTATAAATTTCGATAATGAATATTGTCAGGACGAACGATATTTGCGCCCCGATATTGCGCAATCACTAATATTACAAAATTAATAATCGTCATTTCTGCTTGTTAGAGAGAACTGTCATTATCACGAGTACTCGAACGAGAATCATCGTTAGCACGACTTTGTACGTAATACGTCGTTAACACGCATCCATGCAGATTAATTACCTTTGACGATAATGCGTAACACACAGCTGGCCTGCTTTTTCGATATCGGATGTCGTGCGAAAAACGTGATCTCGTGCACGCCAGGCTGCAGAGTGGCTTCGAGTCGCGTACCCCAGGACGGTTTCGATCGCACGTATCGGAACCAATCGAGATCCGTCGCCGGTTGATCAAAGGTCACAAACGCCTCATCCCTGCCTGGCGGTAACTCGGCTACGACATCCTTCGGACACTCCAATCGCGGCTTGCTGTATCCTGTCGTAAAAGTGCGCAACATTTTTTCATAGATCTTTTTTGCCAATTTTTTGCGCGTTGCCATGAGAATGTAGAAATATTTAGTGAAGAAATTTGCTTTACGAGAAAGCATATTTAGAGAAATCTTTATTTTACTGAACTCTATTAAATTTTTTATTTGTTTCTATACTCTGTATCACACGCAATACATACATTATATTAAACTTTAATTTAATTGAACTAAACTTGATTCATATATTAATGCAAGAAAGAAAGAAAAGAATTAACGTGTCAGAAGCGGTACGTTTCGCGGAAATTAATGATATAAGTATAGTATACTCACTGACGCATTTTCCGTCCTGCGATCCATCCCAGGTGCCATCGGATCGACAAGTTAACTCGTATTCACCGCGAAGCTGATATCCTCGAGGACACTTTAAGAAACATCTTGTACCAGGTCGATTGGGCACTTTTCGCCTGTCGCGCCACAATTTAGACGTGGCTAATCGAGAGCACGTTAAATAACCACGACTAACCGGATTTAATGGTAGACACGCGATGCTATTTATGTCTGGAACAAATGAGATAAAAATAAAGACTGCTGTCTGTGCATCTTATAATATATTGCAAAAGCTCCTGTCACGAAAGAAACACTATTAATTTTAGTAAATATTAGTGTTATCTTGTCCTCCGAAAAGAAATAATATTATAGTAAAATTATTCGTATTAAATTTTGATCAAAATTAATACGCTATATTTTCCAACACAAAGCTTTGTTCAATCAAAATATTTATAATTAGAATTAATAGTTTCTATCCAACATTTACTGTTTTTAAACTATATAAATTGTTCAAATTGTCCAATTACTGTTTCTCAAATAAAAAAATGTTTTGTTTTGAACCATCACCGAATAGTTCTTTCTCTAACAGAGTTCTCTCCGAGTTGAATTAGTGTTTTTGCCTGCCTGAGCTGCACCATGTTCCAATTCATATAAAAGTTTATACCAAAAAATGTACTCGCAATTCTTTGATGTCATATTGTTTACTTTTGTGAGAAACTAGACAATATCAAAAACTCAATAACCAAAGAAAATTAACGAGCGTAAATAGCGTTGCATATTCGAAATAGTAGTACCCGGAAACATATTCTACATCAATTCCATTAATCGCGGTTAATTTTCAACTAATCGAATGTCGGCTATTTTACGTGCTACAATCTAATTATACATTATGCATCACGTATTATTATATTATTCTACAGAGAGAACGAAAAATAAGAATCAAAATATTAATCCTTTATTAAGCTCTAAAGAATGATATTCTCAATTGTAATTTGATTTTTATTTGATTTCATTTTAGAATTTATTGTTTCACATTCGGGCTATTTAAATTTTATTGAAAATAAAATAAAACAAAAAAAAATAGTTTTCCAATGAAATATCATTTTATATCAGCTTGTCACATATTACATCTTATACATACGAAATTTAATAACTCATTCATTCATCGTCGAGTTATTCATTGTGCTCAGTCAGTAAGCGTACCTGTCCTGAACTAACATATATACCAATGCAAGTCTAGAATTCACGTACGGCTCATAAACCTCGCAGCTTGGAGCGTAATCTATGTACGTGTTCAAAACAGAAACCTCCACATCGGCGCGGTATTATGTCAACCACGTCAGCCGCGACGCGTCTACGCGCGTATCAAATGCGATATATGTACATAACGCAGAAATTACGAATGCCAATGGCAAGAGGAAGGACCTATCTAGACGTATCCGTGGAAGTCGCTTCCGCGTGACGGTTTTGCATAATGCTATCATTGCAGATGAATTGCGACTATCCGCGTCGTTTAACGCAAAACTTGGAAAATTTACAAAGTCGACAAAAAAAAAAAAAAATTGAACGTTAAAAGTTACAATAAAGAGGATAATATCGAACGAAAACTTGCCCGAAAAAGGTGCAAAGTTAAATTGAAATTGGTCGTGGAATTTGCAGATGAAGATAAACGCGACGGGCCCAAGTACATCATGTTCATCCGTTTGATCATTGTGCCGCGCGACAACAACGTTCCGCGTGAAATGAACAAGGAGACAGCGGAAAGCGATTTGTCAAAGAACCCACGTACCTACGCAGGACTTCCCGTCGGATGACAGGGCTTTCTCGTCGCCGTCGCAAGCACAGAAGAAGCTTCCGTCTGTATTCTCGCACACCTCCGTACACCCGCCGTTATCAACCGTGCACTCGTTGATATCTAAATATAGAGACTATCGTAAATTTTCACATGCGAAGATGAGTCTCCTGGAAATAGTCATGCGATTCACATCACTAGTGTACATTCTAATAATTATTGGAAAACATGCACAAATAAACTACCGCATTTTTTATATATTTAACAAAGCGCAAAAAATATGTATTAATATTAATGTACTTTATATCACTTCTCATTTTAAATCGTTCGTGTCGAGTGGATAACGTCATACCTCGTGCAATCGGTTAGGAAGCTATGAATAATTCCAGCGAAATGATTTGTCTTTAATCTAAGATCGACTTCGCGTAATCGCGCCTTCATAGCGTCGCGACTGTCGGACAATTCGTCCCTTAACTATCACGCCGATCGCTCGCTACATCACATCGAATGTTATACAAAGCTTCTTTCATTCGCGCGTAATGACTCCTTCACCGGCGATCTCGCGTTCTTTGGCCTCCGATCTGTCTTTCAATCGTCGGCGAGATTACGTTAAATTGACCGAAGTGGCCGAGTCACTATTGCCTCGAGCACTCTCAATGATAGCCGAGAGCACTCAACTTTCGCTGCTTTCACGGCCTATAAATTTGCGCAGAAGTATACAGGGTGTTTAATAATCTCAAACCTCAATCTTGGCGAAAAATTTCTTAATCAATTTGAGATTGCTTTTTCCTTTTTTTTTTCTTTTGGTCAAAAATTAATTAAAGTCTAGGTTAAGATTTTTAGGATTTTTTACGCGAGCAGTGTACATTATGTAAAGTATTATATTCTGGACGAAAACTTGGTATCGTTATTACGGTATTATAAAATTTTTCCATTTTATCCCCAATGTTCTTTTCATTCCTCTCACATTTGCGTCAGATTTGTAATAAATTTTTTAATACCAATCTTTTTAATAAAAATGCAAGCCTGTTTGTTTATTTACCTGAGAGGAATATTACTATCGCAAAAACTTTTTGCACCGGAAAAAGTCAGTCTGTGTCGGAGATGCCGTTACGAGAAGACGCCGAACAAAAATTTCTTTCATCGACGCTCTAGTTTCTTCAGAAATTCAGCCGTACACCCTTTCAACCGACACCTTGGCCGTTCTTTTCAAATTTCTCGTATGCTGGAGATTGTAAGATCATTGCGATAGTCCACTTCCCGCTGTGACAAAACGCGCACGCGGGCCTTTGCGAGCGAAATTAGAATTTTGCTTTGATGTGAGAATACTGGAGATTTTCATAAACGTGACGTGTTCGCAAAGCCATTTTGAGCGCACAGTTTACAATTTCTTTTATCTTTTGTAGAAGAAATTTCAATCTTTCTCAGAAAAAAGCGCGAATCTCCTGCTTTTACGGAGATCTCAATATCTTACCGATTGTCAAGAGATTTTACATTGTTCACAACGGAATTTCTGTATTTTTCACACATGTGCACATGTATTTCCGCTTCAATGCGACTCGTAATGTCAATCACCGCGAAATGCTGTTCACGTAAAATTTCCCCGCTATTTAACGACCGAAATTGCGAGGGAAAAGAAGGCGAAAATGGATTGAATTTTCGCAGAATAAGATTCGCGAACGCGAACGCCTGTAACGTCGTATCAACCGAGCTGTAATGTTCTTGTCGGTATTCACCGCCGCATCAATTGTAATTGAAGGATTTACGCCCCACGAAATTGGATTGCCAGTTACGAGCTTCGGAATGTCTGCAACGTGAGCTGTATCGGGAAGAAAGCTGTGCAGGGTGCGGAGAGATCTCTTTCTTAAATTTTCACCAATTGACACTACTCTAGAAAAGAAGACGCTAACAAATATCCAACAAGTTTCAATTCGTATCCGCGTTTAAAAAGCGTGCTGCTCTTTTCGACGATTTATTTCGACGCAATTCGCAAATGTTTAGTCGTGCACAGAAGAATTGCGTTATGCTGTTACGATAAGCATACGTACAAGTAAGAAAGAGAGAGAAAAAATGTAGCAACAAAAACGCCACAAAAGTATTTTGTATAAAATTCCGATAAAAGCGTTGCGTTTTTCTTATCGCGTTTGCGCGCATCGGCAAAACGGATTGCAGCGGGACTGCACTTGTGCAAGCGGTGAGGAGCGCTTTCGAGATATTTGAAGGTATTGGAAGGGGGAAACTCGCGGGAGACTCCTAAGAAGGTTACTCTCCCGAGGAATGCACGATTGGCGGGAAAGAAAAGGCTCTCTCTCTATCCGAAAGCAGCCGGTGGTGATATAGGTATCGTCCTTGCGGGGCCATGAGGCCACGATTCGACCGGCGTACCCTACCTCCCTCGCTCACCGTCGCGGAAAAAGGAGCGTCAGGCAACTTGGATTTCCTCGAAGAAATACTGAAGCTGCCGCGCGCACTTTTGTCGAAATCGCACGAAGAGAAAGAGAGAATAGTGCGGGATGTTTGCGGGATCGAAGCAGCTTAAACGGCGCGGCTGTTAACGCGAATTTCGCATGAAGCAAAATACCGGAGCGCGTGAAAAATGTCACGATAACCGGCGTCGATCACTCACCCAAGCGAGATCGAGAAAAGAAATCATGCAAAAAGATTCATGCGCAGAGTTCTTTCAGAAGCGGTAAATAGTAAAGAATAAAAAGCACAGAAAGTATAATGGTAAAAGATAAAAAAGAGATTGTAGTGTACAGTTTGCAAATTATTTAAAAAAGACAAAGTGACGCACTTATGCGAGGTAATGACGTTTCGGATAAAGTTTTCGTGTACACGTCGCGGAAGATCACATCTCCATTTCCAACGGTAACGTGATAGATGCTTAAAACTTATTAACAAGAACTTATTAGCTTAACTTGACTTAAGCAGGCGTACTAATACGCGCAAATTTGCAAAGTGGATTCACTCGCGCGCCATAATTCGAGTGCATACCTGCATCGTTTAACAATAAGCTTGAGGATGCAGACTCCGAGACTAAACTAGCTTCGGGGTCTTTTAAACTTTGACATTTCTAATCGTAGCTTTCACGGAACGGAAACAAGATGAATAAGTGTAAAATTATTGCGAAATTATTTGAACATTATTAATTATTACTGTCAACGTTGTAAAAATTATTCTCGAATTTCTAGCTGTCGAGCCTAATTTGTTGAGATGGAACAGCCATTAATTATCAGATAATAAATGAACATATGAGCGATGATAAAATGAAGATAGATTTCTTTCTATTGTTCAGAGTAAAAATTAAATTTTCCATTATCCGACTCACCGATGCACGTCCCATGGGCGGTCTGTTCGTAGCCCGGCAGGCAAGTGATGGACAGGCTGTCCAGAACTGGCTGATCCCTCAACTCCATAGGTTCCGCACATCGGTAGGAACCCGGGGTGTTAATGCATCCATAGCGACACAGGTCCGTCTGAAGATCCGGCACCGAGCATTCATCCACATCTGCGGGAAATGATTGTCATTTGTCAAACGTCTCGTCGTCCCGTCGCTACAAAAGTCTCGCGAATATTCGCGCGCGCGCTAAGTGCACGAGTGTATGCCCATTATTGTGAAAATTCGTGTGAATCGCGTAAAATCGTCATAAATCACGCCGGCATTGCGGAAAATTAAATTATTCTCCAAGAATGATATTTCGGAGGAATTGCGAAAAGAGAAATTGAGTTATATACGGGAGTTATAAACGGTTGTCTAATTAAATCGCTCACCTTGGCAGGTTTTCCAGTCGTCCTCGAGCATAAAACCGTCCGGACACAGGCAAAACACCCGACCCATCGTCGACAAACACGTGTGAGAGCATCCGGCGTTGTTAACGCTGCACGGACCCGTGTGTTTGTCGTGCTCGCACGTGTGATTGTCGGTCGAGAGCGACGCGTCTTGCAAACCTTCGCAGGAGCACTCGTATCCTCCTACGAGATTTCGACAGGTGTCCTGGCACGGACCGTGGCCGTTGTTCAGCAAACACTCGTTGATGTCTACACGGCAAACGACGCGCATGTTTAATCCGCCGCTAAGGGCGATTTAGAATGCGGAAGTGTAATTAATCCCATGCGATTGCAACGGCAATGTTTGAGTGAAGTAATTACTACGCTGGAATCGATATCACTCGAGTAAATAAGAGCACGTAGCGTGAAAAGGATGAATTATTCATATAAGAGCGCGAAATAAATTCCCCAAATAAATACTTGTGTAAACATTGGAAATTAAGTCGGGTTATACAAATTTGGTTTCGCCATTCACGTTCCGCGTGGACCAAGTTTGCATATAGAAATTACGAAAGCCGAGACGTGTCCATTAACAATTGCACGCACGGGGGAAATTATGTGCTCACCAACGCATTTGCGGCCATCCAATCTGAATCCTTCGTAGCAGGAACAGACGGCACGTCCGTTAATTTCGTTGCAAACATGCTCGCAGGATGCTTCAGCGCATAGACCGGCGTTCGGGTTTTGCTTGATCTCGCACTTTGGCACCTGTCCGACCCACTGACGATTCCGGCAGACTAATCGGCTCGTGGGGGATACCATATGGAATCCTGGCACGCACTCGTAATCGGCTTCCAAATACTCGTGGCCCGGGGTCGAGGACCTTTATCATTGTAGCGTGATCAAGCGGAGAGAGTTATTTTTACGGTAAAACTATATTTTTGCAGAGGGATCCAGCATTAACGCTAAATGGAGGGAAAGATAAACGTATTTCAACCTGGTAGCGCCGCGAGGAGAAATTTTACTACCATTTTTGAATTTGGAAATAAATCTAACTTTGATACATACGCACGAGGTATTTTTTTTGTTTTTTTATTTCATTACAAGAAATATTAAATTCCGCATGAAATTTTCGCATCGGGTGTTGTTATCGCCTATTAATGAATAGGATCTATGTTTTATCGATATTTTAATTGAAGAAAAATTGATTTCGAACAAACGTTCGCAAAATCTAATCGCTAAAATTAACGGTGAGCGTTCTGAAACACCTGGTACATATCTCACCGTGTAAATCGTTGATTTCAGGATTATCCCGAGCATTGAATTATGGATAAGAGAAGATAGGAGAGCACTTACTTTACATATTTGATCAGCGCGTGGCGAGATAGAGGCGCCGGCAGGAACGTCCCGTTTATGCAGGATAAATCCCCGCTCGTGCCGTCGTCCTGCGATGCTTTCGTCACGCTCGTGACTTCCGCGCTTCCGTCGTCGAGTTCCTCGTCGCTCTCCTCCGAATTAATTATCGGTTTTCTCGGAGGATGTGAGCCGGAGGTGCGACGAATCGGCGGTAATGACGGCGCCGGCTTCAACCTCGACGTCATGTACGCGTTGTAGTCCTTCAGAGTCCTCTCCAGCACTTGGTTCTCCAGATCCAAGATCGGCAGATCCTCCTCGGTTCTCGAGTAGCCCAGCATCTTCTCGACGTCGTAACGCGAGCCCCCGAATTTGCTTTCGGCATTCGACAAAGTGTCGGTCTCGCTCGACTCCATACCTCGGTTTTCATCGGTTTCGCGTTCCACCGATTTCTTAGGAGAGGTATCGAAAATACCGTCGTCCAGAATCGAAGGATTCTTCGAAGCGGATTTGGAAATCTCCATCTCGAGCTGCTTGGAGAATTCTCTTTCCACCGTGTCGGCCGTGTAAATGCCGCAACGCAGGCATATTCTTGGCCTCTTCGTCGCCTCGAGCGTCGGCCGATGCTCGACACTCGACGGCAACGTCGTGTTGACGGCCGCTATCGACGAGGCTCGGTCGAAAGTGACGCTTGACGATTTCTCGGACGTGTCAATCCTGGCGGGGTCGACTTTTTCACGGAGAAAATCGCTCAGGCCGTCGTACATTTTCTTCTCGTGCTTCGATCGACGCGCGACATCCTGTCGCTTGTCGTCCTGTCGCGCGCTCTTCCGGCCTCTGTTGCGCTCCTTCCTCTCCTTCTTCTTTCGTCTCCGTCGTTCCGCGCGGGATTTGCGCGCCTCCCGATTCTTCGGTCTTGACTTTGACAGGGGACTGTTTCTTCTCTGCGATAATTCACCTCCCTTATCCGTTATCTCGTTCTCACGACTGTCCTCGATGCTGATCTCGTGCGCACGATCCTTGATACTGGAATTCCTCAGCTCTTTACCCCTACGACGCTTCTTGCGCGTTCGATTTCCGAAATTGTCCCCTTGTTGTCTGCCCGAGTTTGCTGCCGGGAAAAGATAACGGGAATGTATTTTCAGTGAAAAATTGCCAGCTGAAACAATAAATTAAAGCGTGCGCGTATACGTGATTAAATAAACGACAAAATTCTCATTATTTACATTTCATATTGCAGGATCTGCTTAAGCGTAGATGTATGATGCGTGGGAAAATATTGCGCAAAAATGAGAAATTTTCGAAACAGCACGATTCGCTGAGAAACGGATATCTCATTTCGGATGTATTTTCGCTCGTCCGCCAACTTGTTTACCCAGAACACGTTTCTCATATTAGGGAAAAAGCGATTTTACTCACTGACATTTACGTTTCTTCGAGGAGGAATTTTCACACCATTTTCCGACAAAAGATGTTTGTCCCCGCGTTCATCGCCGCGGGGTCCCGCTTTCGCTTCCGCTTCCGTCCCCTCCAGCTCCTCGATAACACCTCGCGACGAAAGCGTCCTTCTGTTTTCTTCGAGCACCTCCATCCCTTCAGAGGATGCGCCCCGGCTGATAGATAACAATAGCTTTAACCATTGTTGTGCTCTCGCGAAAGACAAGAGATCTTAGAGATACTGCCCAGTTCAATGAATAAATCATCGAAGGCGCGAAAAAGACGAGTCACTCAATTTCAGCAGTTTAAGGCACTAAACAACGTGTTAGCATTGTTCAAAATTTGTCTAAAAATCCGAAACATTTTTATATTTAAATACATGCTGTTGTATAAAAATTTGCTTCGAAGAGAAATAAGTTACGGAATGTACATAATTTTATCAACAATATAGAATTTCTCATTTCTATGAACTTTTTTTTACGAACATTACATTACATCGACTCGACAAATTCTCAAGTCCTACTTCCTCGACCTTTCATCATTTGGGCGAACTTTTGATCCCGAACTATAATTACAGTGTAATTCTATTAAAGCTCTCTCTGATATTTGAGCGGATACGCGGATTTCGACGACAAAGCATATATCATTGAATTAAAAGCGCCGTTAGATCTTTATTGGAAGAATCTCGTTTCTCGTGTTACTCGCATCGAGCCGGGTTCCATTCATCGCATTACATCCGGAAGAAAAACCGGAGACAAGCAGCGTTTTGCAGCTCGTATTTTACAGCTGCTGGAATTTAGCAGCAGCGATACTTTACCTATACTGCTGATGGGCGTCCAGAGTGCGCGACTCGTCGGTGAAGTAATCCGATCTCTTCCTGTCACCATCGAACAACGCACCGCGTGCCTCGGCATTTTGGCAGAGTCCTGTAAACGAGCGAATTCAACCTTAGGCCGATCGGCGGGAAAATAAGAGCAAGGGGTGAGCGAAGGGACGAGAACTCTTCCCGTGACTGCATTTCTCCGCGGGCGATGCAGGCAGCGAGGCGAAAATGCGGAAGTCCTATTGTGAAGTTTCCCGGAGTCCCGCACTTGGCCACGAGTGGGTCGAAACTTGGACTATTACTACAATGAAACTCCGCCACGCGGAACTGCGGAAGTCATCGGTCCCGCCGTCATTTCGCTTCGTTGAGCGAAGTGTTCGCGCGATGTAGTCGTCGATATGGAAATTCTTTAATGCGCGAAAATGGCGATAAAGTCAAGTTGGAAGAGAGATAAAAAGAAGCAGAAAAAAGCGTAACCTCCCCGAGAGACGGGAGAGGGTAAAAGATTTCTAAAGGACAAGCAAGAGTATCTTAATCTCTCGGATGTTCCTTAGATGCTTTTAAAGGCGTCTCTTAAGCTTCTACGGTGTTTGTGAGAAAACGCAATGAGTACTGAATATAGGTGGAGGTTTCTTTCATAAATCTTTTTCAAACGTGTTACATTAAAAAATAAGAAATAATTGCAATGATGAATGCTTCACGCTTCCTCCTTTCTCAAATACAAAATTTTCTCTTAATAAACTTACGATTTTCCGCTCTCAGGCAGTAATATGAATTCCGGCACGTTAACGAAGGGATGCCTATCGGATGCCCCGAAAAGTTTCACGGTGGATTATACTCGAAACTTTCGCGAAGCTCTTGACTCGAGAAGTAGCGAAACCGGACGCATTTTCCTCTGCCGTTGTCGAAGAAAGCTCATCGAGAGAGAAGCATCTTCGCCTAATCTAAGCGATATCAAAGTGGCAATTGGTATAATCCAACGATAATTGACTTTCTCGTTGTTTCCGCGCATCCGGAACCTTTAACAAAAGCGAAACAGCCAAGTTGCTACGCACAAGAACCAAAGAACGAAGACGAGAGATTATCCTGTGGAACGATACGTTTCAGCATTTCGCGTAACAGTCTATATAATATATTTTAAAAGAGAAAACAATAAAGTACTTTTAAAAATATTCTCCCGTTAAATGTAAGGTATATAATTGTTGCGCGTATTAGCGTATTCTCCAGGTGTTTGCGCGCCGCGCTAATATTTTAAAAATCCTTAAATATTTCATATTCATAAAATATTTGTTTTTCGGTATACCAGTTTAACGAAAATATAAGCGCGATAAAAAATGGAAAGAAGAGATGCATTCCGGCAGAAGCAATTAAAGCAAGCAACTAAACTTTGCCATAGGTTACGACGAATAATTCGTTCATTTCTCTATCGTAATAGTGGTCAGGATGGTAATTCCGTCGCGAAAGTTTAATTAAATTCAATCAGCGGTAAACGGGGCTTCCATATAATATTTTATTGAAGGCAAATCGCCCTGTATTCCGATCTTTCATCTTTTCAACTGATTAATGCGAATATATAAAGAATCGCAAAGTTAATTCATTCTCATACAATTTGCACGTATCTAGAACAATTGTATTTGAACAATTGAGATCGAAGAAATTAATTTTGAAATTTTGAAATGCGCATGTTTTAAAGCTCAATAACAAGGTTTGTCTGAATCAGTAATCGAAATACTTGAATATTTCATCTTTACTTCCGCGTTACCTCGGCAAAAACAACGTAATGCATGACACATTACACTAGCGCTCGTGTAAATAAATGAGTATATTTCGGAGAGCGTGCCGTCACACACGTGTGCGCCCGGCGCTAGTAATTTTTCATTTGCCACGTGCATATAGCGAGTGTTCCCCAACGCGACATTCCGCGCCTGTAATATTCACAGGTCATCACCTTTAAATTTACATTCGACTTTTCACCCAACCGTCTTGAGTGAACTCGACGCAAAACGTTTCAGGGATTTCGACCAAGTCACTGTCGTGAGCGAAGCCGCATTCCGGGTGCATCTAATCAATTTGGAAACGATTCGATTTCGACGTGAAGTCGAAAATAAGTCATTTCCAATCAGGGCGGATAATCGACGCGTGCTTCGAATAATTGAGATTAAGAATATGATGACACTTTGGAAGCGCGCTTCTCGGAATTTCCTATGACACCTGGCGAACCGCTTATCGTTCACCTGCAAGCACGATAAGCCCAACATCACAAGAGGATTTCTCATCAACTTGTATTGCACTGATGCGCAGAGCACAGCCTCGTTGATCCCTTGTCAATTTTCGCTGCGACACACGACGCTAGGGAGACGAGATTACCTCCGGTAATGTTGCATCGCCAATCGAACGAAATGAATTTCCGGCATCGGCGAGAGCTCGATCGAAAGGACTCGAAAAAGAATAAATACTCCTTTCTAAAGAGTATTCCCGACGGTAAGCGATCGATGAAAAACGGCGGCGTACTTTCTATAATTATTCCACATTATGCACTAAGCTCGTCCTTTTCAGCGGAATAATTCATTGAACATTTGACGGCAGTCTATGAGAAAAACCGATTACGGGGGATTATGTTACATCGCAGCCGTAAATTATAGACAGTCGTGAAATTATAGATCTTGCAAACGACATTAATGAGAGCTCAAATTAATAAAAACGATTATGAATTATATATGCTTATAGTGTCCTTTAAGAGAAAACTCAAATGTCTATATATCGCCTCTACAATTGTGACTGTAATATCGATTAGACGTAAAATCTGGCGGAACTCATTTAAATATAAAGCGAAATTTTACATAAACAAATTTTTCTCAAATGTGCTGTAAAGTTTCCTGTAATTCCTATGACATTTGTGAACAATGTTACTTCATTCAAACTGTAAACGAGACACATTACAATGACTAAAAAATGCATTAGAAACAGCGTGCATGTTTCATCCCGTAAATCGTGTGCCATTTTGTTAATCCTGTTCTGCGTGGAGAATATGCAACGACGTAATTACGTGCGAATGTACCAACTGCGCGAACAACCGCATAAATCGTAAACGAGTTAAGCGGTGAAGTTAGATTGCCCGGCGCTCATTGTTTTTTCGCTGTTTAAGCGAACCACAGAGAGTGAGAGGGAGAAAGAGAAATAGAGAGAGAGAGAGAAAGAGAGAGAGAGAGAGAGAGTCCCCTTAATGTTAATTCGTAAATCTGCTAATACGTCCAGCGGCAAAACTAATTACATCATGCTATAGAAAGACGTTGAGGCGGGCGAGAGCGCAGGCTGGCATTTCATTGTGATTGCATGGTCCACAATGCGCCGTGAAAATTAACAGACCGCGCTTCAAGTTGCTCGTGGCTCGTAGAGGAGAAGCTGAGGTTGGAATGGAGTTTCCCGTCGCGCACACAGAGCGACGAGAAAGAATTTCTCCGAAGATGTAGTGGACTATTTTTCACTTTTAAGATATGAGATATCGAGCGGAAGAATGGTATAAGACATATTTCTCGCGTTTCAAGAAATAAGAATGCGGTGGCATATTTAATGTGAAATATAGCTACTTCATTATGTCATCCTTTTCTATTATTATAAAGGAGAAAACGGCAGAGAGAGGAGTTTCAAGAGTCGCGTAGCGCCGAAATAGGTATTTACCGCGGCTAAAGTGGATGACTTATTATTGACTAATATCACTGTGGCTCTCTCGGCTTAGCGCGCCTAAGTGCAATGAATAAACACGCTCAATTGGATAACAAACTAATTCTCATGTTTTCTACAGAGCATTGTGCAGCAGGATAAAGTAATTAGAGCGGAAATCTCAGTTAGCTATTTTCGGGCGAGAATTTGTACCGCACTTTTTTAAAATCTCGAAACTAAATTTGCATACTATTGCGGTTGCTAAGCGTTCTTTATTCATAACCCCACGTCTTCTTTAAATATGGACAAACGTCTCGGCTCGGCTTTTAAGCTCCACCTCGGACGCGCGTTCTTTATTTTACAGGCATATAAATTAAGACGCAAATACAAGCTGACACGCTGAAGATTGAATCATTTTGTGAGCGCCACGAGAAGTGGATGACTCCTTTGACTACTATTCGCGAAAAATTAGACAAGTCGCATCGTTAATTATTATTTTGTTAATTCTATGGCTATTTTTTAATATATTCTATATTTGTTGCTATATTATATATGTATTAATCAAATTATATTAACTAATGTAGTTAATTAATTTAGCTAATTAACTTTGCTGATTGTACCTAATTACTATTGTGTATATGTCGATAATTTAATGAATAAACGCGTAATATTAAAATATTAATTATTATTATAAACTATTTATATCAAATTGTTTAATCAATAGTAATCATTACTGCGTAAAAAATATGCTTAATGAATCAACAATGATACAAAGTATTAAACGAAGAAATTATTCAATAAACATTAAAAATTCAATGCAATATTGTATGCATGCAATGTAATATTTGCAATAACAGAGATATGCATGAATTTTATTTTAGTATAAATTACATACTGAGTCAATAAAAACATATTGAAAACATAAGAGGGTGATTTAACCTATAATTTTTCGACACTTTCAAGTTTTATCAAAGTTCTAAATTTTTCTAAAAAATTAAAATAATTTTGATTAGCTTGGTATTAAAAAAAAGCAGCACTCACCAAACGGCGGAACAATTGCCACTAGAAACAAGACGATGCAAACGAGCCTCGCGTGGCTCGTATGTTTCTCGATACACATAACGTGACGTCGTTCACACTGGCATTCAAACGTACCGTATCGCGCGGCCGCTCGCGTGGCTCTGAGTGTTCCTCGTTAGATTTCGAGTTTGAAACGGTCTCTCCCTCTCTTTTGCTTCTGCTCCTCTCTCCGTCACGCCAATTTCATCCCGCGTTTTGCGCGTCGCGGAATTGTGGCGACGCGACGTCGCGCAGCTCCCGGATGCTTGCGAGTGGTCCGACGGAGACGTCTGCTCGATGTGATCTGCCGAACTGTATCACAGCTGGCGCCACTCATATGAAAGACCCGCGAAGATTTGCGCGGAAGCTGTAAACACATAAAATTGCACTTTTATCACGAGGATGTTATTTTACAGATTCTTACTTCTTATTGCTTCATTAAGTGAGAGAAAACATTCAAAATATTTGAGATAATTGATTTGAAAAACTAAACAATTCGATAGCTATTATTGTAAACAGAAAAATTTATTTTCTAAAACATAACAAATTGAAAAGTAATTTTGCAAAATTTCTCATTTTGCTCTATTATTTTTATCACTCCTTTTTAACATAACGCGTGCTTGATTAATTAAATTTCTTATTGTTCAAAATGTAGATTTTAATGTATTTTAATTCTCTCTTGCAATAATCAGGAATGACAAGCAAGTAGAAGCAGCGCTCGTGACTTTTGCGTATATATTCGTATTCCATTGCCCTCCATAGTCGACCTAGCTCCTGTAATTTCCTCGAATATCGATCCTGCAGCGCATTCGCGCGTTCCGAACGACGCAAGCTCGAAGTTCAAGCGGAATAGAGAGCCTCCCTCCCGGCAAAGCTAGTTTATGCCCGGCGTATTCCCTCACCCCTGATACTCACTTTCTCTCTCTCCTTCTCTCTTCCTCCCTCCTTCCTTTTCGTCCTCGTGAGGCACGGCAATCGGACAAGATGAGCGACCAGGAGGATCTGGATTATTACATCATGTTTCCGTCGTTCCCGCCGTCCCCGAAGGATCCGACGTTGGCCACGACCGGGCAGGATCAACGAGAGGAGTTCGTGTTTGTGTACGAGGAGGATAAGCGACCGGTCGTGATCTTACTAGGATGGGCCGGCTGTCAGGACCGATATCTAGCCAAGTACAGTGCAATCTACGAGGAGAAAAGGTATTCCGCTTACTCGCTATTTTCGCGCAAAATTCGACTCGCGAGTGAGAAACAATCGAGTTGAAATGCTCAATGTTGCGTCGTTCACGTTACAACGCGTTAATCCCTGGTGCATTTTTGTGCGCATCTTCGCAGTTGCATTACGTTGCGCTACACAGCACCGGTGGAGTGCCTGTTTTGGCGCCGTGACAAAATGCCTTACATCGGCAAGCGGCTGCTGCAGGTGATCACTGACAAGCGACTGGACGAGCATCCGATATTCTTCCACGTCTTCAGCAACGGCGGCGCGTTCCTCTACCAGCATGTCAGTCTCGCGATGCAGAAGGCCAACATGCCGTTCAAGGTAGACGATGTCTATATGACAATACAACATTTTTTTATTTTATACTTTTCGTACGTTCTAAAAATGTGCAAGAGACAATTCCAAAAAATCTTCGTCCAATATTCTTTAACAGCTTGACTGTCGATTATTCTTTGAAATTTATTTTAAACGCTCTATAATGCACGATAAAATTAAAATAAATATAAAAATTGAGATAAAATTTGTTCATAATTTTACGCGTCGTGTAATATAGAAAATTATTGCAGGTCAGAGGTGTGATATTCGACAGTGCGCCTGGCGAGAGAAGATTAACGGCGCTTTTCAAGGCGATTAGCGCGATCATCGGTGGCCATCCTCTCACGAATTTACCGATGTCTTTTATTATCACGTTCTTGCTCTCCGTACTCTGGTTCTTCGAGGTAAACAAACAGTCAACAAATGCATGTACCAATGATTCTCACGATCATCTTGATAGCAGGCATGAAATGATAATAATTTTTATTAATTTATAAAGGCATTCTTATATGTTTATCAGAGCGACGAATCATACCATACCCATAGATCGGATCATTTCAGGGCTGTGTCGACGTTGTACAGTTTAAATGTCGATTTATGATCGTCAGGTAATTGCGCAGGCATTCAGCAGATCGCCTATTCCGACGAATCCGATTGCTCTCGCCGAAGAAGCCTACTCCTGGCCTCAGCTGTTCCTATACTCCAACAGCGATACCTTGATTCCAGCGTCTGTGAGTGAAAAAATAAGTTATCATTTGAATTTTCACAATAAATATTTATTTTTTACTAGCTTTTGTGTAAAAAAATTAGCAATTAAACTTGATATCGGGCAAGATAATACTTATACACTTGAAATTTCGAAAAACGTCAGGATGTGGAGAAATTCGCCAGCCGACGAGCCGAGCGAGGTGTGCGGGTGCAGCTGGTCTTGTTCACCAATTCACCGCACGTCAAACACTATGCGACCTACCGCGATGTCTACGTCAATACCGTATGCGGCTTCATCCACGAATGCTTGATTTCGCCGAGTCCATCAAGGAGTCTGATGTCATCTCTGGATCACGACGACAATCACGACTCTCAAAACTACGACGCGCCGCCAGGGCTTACCAAGCGCGTCGTGTTGCCTCACGAGGCCACCAAGCAGCAGAATTAGAATAATCGAAAGACGCTAATAGGTAGAATAATCATTCGCTGAAGAATCGTACTCAATCGCGATCTCGCAGTACAGATGTACAGATGCGAAGGAAGAGAGGATCGATACGATTAACTTTTACATATATGTACATCTATAAAAAAACCGGGCGAATTAAAAGGAAATATTTTGCACAAACGTGATTTCCTAATCTTCATCGTTAAAAGTTGACTTCTAAATTATTAAAATTTTTTTATTTTTTTTTTTGTGCATTCTCGTCTATTCATTAATTCTGGAACAGAACGATTACGAGTAAGGAGATTAGTTTCTTAATCAGAATCAAAATAAATTAAAACACAAGTAATAATTATTAAAATTTAAAAAACCGTAAATTTAAAAAGCATTGCTGCTGAACTTTAAAGATTACAATTTCAAAATTTCCAATTTAGGTAAATTGCTTTTTTAGGTAAGTTGTTCTTTTTAATTCGCTCATTTTATATGATGTCCTAGATGCTGGAAACGGTGCTACGTTTATTGATGTACAGAGCTATTTTATGCAAAGAGTATTATTATATACAAGTGAAATTTATCTAATTGTAAGTAGAGAACGCAAATTTTATGAACTAAGCGAGAGCACACACACACACACGGTGGCGTAAGATCTTTCAAATTCTATTAAGTATATTTTAAAATATTTTGTAAATGTATTTAAAATCTAAAAATTGTTATTAAGTAGAATGTATTTTAATTTGCATCAGTTTATTCCAGCATTGTTATTTTTACGAACAGATTAAATGTCACGCGCATTGCTCAAATATTTCTTACAATTTGTAAAGCTTAGGAGACATATTGCAATATTCCTATTGTATTCGATATAACTTTCAGCAATTGAAATTAATTTCTGGGTGAGTTATATGCACTGTTTGCGGCATCATAAGCCTTGAGTTAAAATTTTCTCACTTTTGTACAGACGGAGAAAGAACCGATTCCACGTCCTCTCTCCTTCGCCGCAATCCCTTTCGCATTATTCCCCCAGCTTGATTCTTCCTTGCTATCTTCCATTATTTCTTTCGCCACTGCGTGTGCGAGTAACCGCTACTTTAGAAGCTCGTAAACTTATTGTTAGACACGAATGCATCTGTGTGTATGCATCTCGTATAATAATCTAGATGACAAATCTCGCTTTTGGACGAGTATGTATTTTTCTTCGACAAGACGATGATGCGAAGGCACGTCGAGGATTAAGAGATATTTCTAGGACAAAAAATGGATGCGTCTATAGATTATACGCAATATTACGCAACGTTATTGCTTTCATTCGTACTTTTTCCTACACCAAAGAAGGAATTCGCACAAAAGAATCAAGCTGGACTTGATTTAGCTTCCGCTATTCACACTCCGAGTGCATGGCATTTAATATTGACTCGAGAATAAAAAAACGAAAAAATTCTTGTGTCTCGAAACTAATAATGAATTTTTCGAAACTTCAACGCTCGGGAGTATAGCTGTATCAGATGTCGTTAACATCTCTCTATACTATATATATATAATATATACATATATAATATATATGTATAATATAAATATATTTTGATCTGTCGATTAGTTATACAAATAAAGACTGATAAATATCTACAATGCTTCAATTTCATTTAATGTTTCACTCATCATAATATGCCTAGGAGCAACTGAAAGAAAATTTACTTTACAAGTAATAAATATTTATTTGTTTATTATTGTAACGCAAAAAACATTTATTTGCTCCTCGATTCGGTAATATTTCAGTGTTTTTCTTTTGTTAAATCAAATGTCAGTTATATGATATTGTCTCGCGAGATCAGACATTAAGATTACTAATATTCAACATATATGATCCATGGATTTATTATTTTCATCAAACCATTACTTGGCTTCTAAGCTTTTTAAAAGCGTACGTATAGATTCAAAAAATATATAACTTTTGCAAGAAAATTGAGGAAAACTTAAGATTTCAATAAATTACAGAATCAACAGAAATCATCGAAACCGTTTTGAATTATTTTTGTATTTCATTGCGTATTGCATTTTTTTACCGCAACGAATCTAAACTGTATCCGATCCAATGGACAAAATTGCGAGGAGTATAACAGAATTAACGCTCTGACCGTTTTCATTCAACAAACAGAACAAGAACAACAAGAGATATTATCGAACGTGGTTAAATCAAAAGACAAATTAGCTGTTTCTTCTATAACAAAGTAAGACCATAAAAATTATACATATTTGAATACAAATGGATAACATAATCAAAACGCATAACATAAAGTTTCAGTAACCTTAAAAAATCATGCCAGTACAATCAAAGAAAAGCTAAAAAGACGGCTTCACTTAATGATTCTTCGTTTAAGAAGAATGAAAATGAGCAATGTTTTGAAAAATACAATTGCACAGATGCTGACACAAAGTAAAATTATTAATGCTTGTAATTTGTGTTCTTGAAACATGCTTATTAGTTCTTATCTATATATAAAGTTACTGAAATCTACAGAATACATCTTAATAAAGACGATAAACATAAACCATCAGAATTCTCGCGAGATTTCAAAGCGCACGGTAATCAAACCAAGAACAATCTGGATTCTCAAAATATAAAATTAAATGCCAATTTTAATAAAAAATTACAAATCAACACTGGTCCGAATAAAATTGAGGAAAAATCATGTAAAAAGGAAATTAAGAGTGCTAAAGTAAAACGTGATATTGTACGTTCTTCTTTGCTATTTAAAATGTTGATTAAAATTTATTTTTTTAATTAAATTGTAGAACAATATGATCAAATAATACGATACAATATAATCTAATTAATATCTTTTTTTAAAATATTATTCAAATTATTATTATAAGGTCTAGATTTATTTTAAAAATTTTAGAGTATTATTGACATATAGTAACAAAATTTTTCAAAACAGGTAGCGGAGAATATAACAAAGCAGGGTAAAAAATTACACGTGAATCTCGTAAAAAGAATACCAGCGACGAGCAATTTTTGTTTACGAGTTTAATCCATTTGCCAATACGAAAGAATTAAACCCATTAACATCGCAAACTCAATTGCGCTCTACGAATAATTCTGACAAAAAATTATCTTGTTCAATAACCGGTAAGAAATTAATTATATATTGAAACTTTTTATACATTGGCTAATTACATTTTGAGATCACACATTCTAATATACTCGATTGACAAAAATACGAACAAAAATATTTTAGCGTCAAGATTTTCGATATTTTTTTTCTCGGTCTTTAAAACTTTTAAAAATATCTAATTATAAATTATAAATTATAAATTATATCTAATGCTTCCAAATAAATTATTCTATATTTGTCTACCTTAATATATTTAATTATATATATAGATATATATAAATATCAGATTATTTGTCAAACTGAAATTAAATCTTAATGCAGATTTCGTAAAACGGAAATCTTCTGCTGTTTTACCAGAATTAAATTCACGTATTGATTTCGTGACGGATGAACCAGATCCAAATATAACAAATTCTGTACAGAATATTTACTTGCCGATACTAGAGAAAGAACATTCAACGAAGACGTTGAACAAACAATTTGATGATAGATGTAAGCTTTTGCTATTATTTTATCTACCAAGTATTATTGTTCATTTTTAAAACTCTTCATATATATCACATTAAAGTTCTCATCACTTAAGTTCTAAAATCATATTTTTTTCATTTATATTTTAGATGAACAAAGCGACATAGATCACGAAGTGGAGAATGTGAAATCGATTTGGCAAACGTTACAAACGGAAAAAAATTCGACAAAGGATAAAGATCACATTACCAATGTACAAACGAGAAAACTATACGAGATTCTTGACAAAGTAACGTGTAAATTAGACAAAGTTCAGCAAAATTATATGAATCCCAAAATAAACTATTGCACACATTTGCATAGAAGCGCGACGAATATCTTAAAAGCAACCAATAAGCCGAATTTAGAAGAAATCAAAATTGCAAAAAATATAATTTTTCCTAAAAAGAAAGCAAAGATCAAAACAGAAATACCTCATTCAAAAAATGTTGATATTGAAGCAATCAGTAAAAGTACAGCAAGGATGAAATTGAATGAGATTACGAAAAACATTTTGACGAATAAGCAATCGACTGAAAATTTATTTTCATCGAAACATATCGTGGAGAAACAATCAATATATACTGACGAGCACGGGCATAATGTCGACAGCGATAACGAATCAACCCAGACAATTGTACCAAATACTTATAATAAAACACAAGATAGAAATACAGATGTAGCGTATAAAGAGAATGACAAAATGAAAATGAAGTTTGCATCCTTCGTCGAAAAATATTTACAAGACTATAATGATAATTTTGATATATTACGTAATATCGAGAAGAAGAAAGGAAAAAAATATTTTCAAAATATGAAATCATCGACAAGTGATGTTGCGGATATTCTCGCGAGTCACAATATTGGACCGCTTGGATTGTACGAAAATTTCGAGGAACGTAATGATGTTGATGATCCAGAAGATTGTATAAACAAAAAAAGAGAGAATTGTTCTTGCACGAATAGCGCAAATAACAATACGCAAATAATTCCCGTTAATACCATTGAAGAAAATAACAAAAATACAGAAAATACGGAATTACATGAAAGAGATACGCGAACAACGAAAATAGTCGATGTCAAATCTTCCAGTGCTTCAAGGCATTCAAACGTAGCAAATTATCAAGATAATGTCTTTATTAAACTGGGATTAAATGTCTTAAATGAAAATAACTTATCGAGAAACAGGCTGTCACAAATATTGCAGTCGGAATACTTGAAGAAGGATTTATCCTTATAACTCATGCAATATCTGTCTTGTAGCAGCAGAATTATCTTTAATATCATTATCTTTAAATGCTTTCAAATTATTATATTTTTTAAAATTATTAGTGATTTTATCATTTTGTAAATATAATTTTTTCACTATCATAAAGATTTTGTCACTTTAACAAATATAAATAAAGATTTGATATATATTTATCGCGCGTTTTTTATTTGTACAGAGATTTTGGAAATATTAGTTTTGGAGACTCCCAAAAATATTAATTTAAATGCTTTGCTATTAGATGTTAATCTTATTGGAAAATAAATAATAATAATAATTAATAATATAAATAAAACTTACTCTCATTGTTTTGTTTTCAGTTTGCGTGGTTTGTCGACAGTTCAGTTTGATCGCATGCTTTTTCTTTATCTTTTGATTACGAAGATTACATATCATCTTCATTTTATGTACAGTATTTCCATAATCAATGTCGATTTCCGTAAAGTTCTAGCTTTTATTAGGAATGATTTCGTAGATGATCATCCGAAGATTCACCTAAGAGCATATAGCAAGAACAGTGCGCAAATTTTTTTTCAGAGATATTCGCTGGAAAATCATCCGACACTGAGACAATTTCTAACAATTATTAAATGGAAGCTATAGATAACTTGTAGTTTAATGTAGTATTATTATATTATTAAAAAAATTAATATTAATTTTTTATTTTCTTTGAATAGCACTCAACACTTATATAATAAAAACAGCAAAAATCAAATAGTTTTTAATATTTAATTGGTTTTTTAAATAGTTTTTTAAATATTTAGTTGGACAATGAAGATGACGACAGCGAAATTCCAATTGATACTCACCGGACATCATACTATGTGGAATGGCGGTTGTCAGTCCATGTCACCATAATCCACACTGTTCTCTTCGATTCTGTCTTTTCTATCGTGTTTGGATCAGAGAGTTACGCAAGTATGCTTGTCAGACGAGACATTGAAAAGTCCATCGAGAGTGACCATTCCTTTTACCAGGAAATCTAATTAATGCAGTTGGAAATCTAATTAAAAGCATTGAAAATCGTTAAAGATATTCAATAGATTCTAGAATTGATTGGCTTTTTACGAGACTTGTCTTGAAAGCCGTCCATACACTTGCGCCCAAAGCCACGCTAGCCAAGGTCGATACACGTGCCGTTGTTGTACGGGTTTCTGATGCAATGGTTTACGATTAAGTGTGCAATTAGGATCCCTGTAATTCTCGCGGCAGTTGCATTTGTAGCTAATGATGCCAAAAATGCGTTCTAAGCTCCATTACGCACCAACGGAGAACTACGTCCGTGTGCGCTCGGCCGTTCGGCACGAACTCTTTCGGCAATAAGATAAAGCCAATGTTTTGTAAGATTACATCTACTAGATTTCGAAAAGAAATAATCATTGGCAAAGAAACGTAGATAATTTTTTTAAGAATTATTATTCTTATTTTCTTTTCAATCTTCTGTTATATAATATTTTTGTATCTTTATTTTGTATCATCGTAAAAATTCAATTTAATTCTGTTTCAAATTCAATTTAAAAAATTCAATTTAATTGTTTCAAATTCAATTAAAAAAATTCAATTTAATTCTGTTTCAAATTCAATTTAAAAAATTCGAATTTAATTTAAAACTGATGGAATATTATATGTCTCAAAATATCAGTGTTATATGTTATATGATTTAATAAAAGGACAATCTTTCTCAAGTATAAACTTATGGATTTTATTCGATCAAAGTTGTACCTTTAACCTTTATAATTTTATTATTTTTGACAAAATAAATAATTTGTATACATTGCTGCAGTGTCTTCTGAAAAAATTAACAAAAAACATTTGTTCAGTATATCTTTTTTGAAAATAAGAAAAACTTCAAATGATAAATAAATGTGAAAGTTAAAATTTCTTTTATTTACTCGTTCTTCAAACTATGGCACTATCTGTTAAAATCACAATTTGCTACTTTAATGTTGAGATTTAATTTAAAGTATAAATAAAGCATCATGATATGTTTTTTGACTGACCGATACGCGATGACCGCATCATATCAACGTTTCATAAATGTTCACAGTTATCGCACTAAAAATCGTCTGTAACGATCTTAATATAAATACACACTTCTGCATTGTCTTCAACAAACACTTTACTGCTTCTCTCCCTTCGACAAAGTATAATTGTTGATTAAGAGATAGAACATATCACAACACTGGAAGCGCCGAACTATGGCTCTGGTATATTATAGCCCCGGTGAAATTAATTGCTGCTGCTAACACAAACACTGGCATCCACCAACCGTGCGAGGCAGTTACTAATTCAGCCGTTAATGGTCCGCACAGAATTCCAGGTATCGTTGCCTGTGAATCAATATAAGTATACAATACAGATGTTTCAATCAATTGTATAATAATTAGCTGAATGTATGTGCATATGAAAAGAATGCTTACAATTGTATTGGAAACTGCAAATGTAATTCCCGCATGATTGGGAGCTATATCAGCATGATTACTAAGATGTCCAGCAGAATTGCACGCACAGAGGCCCATGGATATCGAAACAAATCTGTAAAGTATAATAATTCTTATATAATTGATGAACAGAAAAATCCTATTCTTAAGAAAAAAATATTCAACAATATAAACCACATTATATAAAAATATAGTCATTGTTACACGTACACGACTGCTGCAAGTAGATTATCTACAGCACAAAAAGCTAATAAGAATGCACCTGGTCCTATTAGGCCTATATTCGTCATCAGTCTTCTAACAGATAAAACAGACCATCTTTTTTGTATTAAAGTGTCAGCACTGTGGCCAGCAACTGTAAAAGAAAGTAAAAGAGATATTTATAAAGGATAAATTTTAGTAAATGTTCAATTTATTACTCTCTAATATACTTACCAATACCAATAAGAGAATTAACAACATAAGGAAGTGCTGTCAAACTAATGCTCTCTTTATTGGCAGACAAATTCCTTGCCAAATAAGTTGGGAGCCACTGCATTATTATATAATTACTCCAGTTCATTGCAAAATGTGCTATATACAGAGCCCATAAAGGCCAATGTGCAATAAACTCCGTCCAACGTAAGCTTCTATTTTGTGCTACCTGCCAATTATCATAAAGAGAATGAAAGGCAAAAAATAATAAATATTTGAGAATACTAGAAATAAGTCTACCTTAGGAACAAATAATGGTATCTCATCCTGCGAGTTAGTTTCTTGATATAGCATTAGCCACAATAAAGTCCAAAGAATACCTATCGTTCCAAACAAATAAAATCCAGTTTGCCATGCCAGATGTGGACATATCTAAAAAAAAAGAAGAAAATGCTTATGCTGGATAAAGTATAATTTTTTTTCACGTATATACTATATGTTAAAAATATAATCAGACTTACAATAGATGCAACCACCTGGCCGACAGAACCTGCAGCTACAAGATAACCAAAAGCCCGTGATCTTTCCTCAACAGGCACATTATGTGCAAATAAATGGAATATCACTGGTAAACCTGTATACAAAATATTTTTCTCAGAAAATATAAAGATATATTCTGATCATTCTTGTTAGATTACTCTCATCTTTCAATCTTACCTAATCCTTCCCCAAGTCCTAAAATCACCCTACAGACTATGAGTAATGGTACTGACTGTGCTAGTAATGGTGTGACTACTGTACTGATAGACCACAACAAAACTGCCAGCATGAGTACTGTTTTGCAGCCGAAACGACTTGCTGTACTTGCACCGATAATCTTGAAAAATAAAATGTATTGATGCAGAATGTTATGATTTTAGAGCAGTAGTGCAAAAAGACAGATAATCTACCTGACTAGTGAAATATCCAAATGCGAACGCAGACAGTATCCATCCTTGCCAATATAAATTCCATTTGAACTCGTCAGTCATTGGAACAATTGCAATGGGCATAATTACTCTGTCCGCAGCATTTATAAAATTTGCGGCAGAACAAAGCGCCACAATGCGCGATGTGCGCGGCAGCATTCTAAATTTTGCCATTTTTGATCTCTGTACTCTGATTACGAATTGATTCAACTCAACGATCACCAGCAGTCACTTTGCATTGCAAATTAAATTCTTCCTTGTTTTTTTGCTATATTTTTCCTTATTTGAAATAAATTCAGTACGTACTTGTGTTTCCTAGACAAAAAATAAGAAAGAAAAATAAATATAAGCCAAAAAAGCGAGCCTACTGTTCCATAAGTATAAAGGATACTAACCTTTACACTGTCGTAAAATGCTTTTCGTTTTACGATAACGTGCTGTTCGTGTATATCGGTATAACAATTGAAATCATCGTAATCGTACTGGTTCGTTCGTGCAGTTTTGATAAATGCGTACGTTAATGTTAGGAATTACATTTAAACAATATACTATAACAAGGGTACAATAAGACACGAGTGTCAAGAATTTGACACGATTCGACGTGTACTATAGTTGTAATACAGCAATCTAATTCAAGTTATGTCTCACAGATGGCTAAGGATTCGAGTCTCTGCTAAATCTGGTTTGAATCTCAGCTAAATAGAAATTTATCGTCGGCTACAATTGGTTGTAATGAGTAGAATCGAAAATGGCGCGCACTCAAGTCGGTCGCGGAGTCAGCAAGAAGTCTTCTGAGAAAAATATTATCATTTTGTGTACAGTTTCGTTTACCAGTGATATTCCATTTATTTGCACATAATGTTCCTGTTGAGGGAAGATCACGGGCTTTTGGTTATCTTGGAGCTGCAGGTTCTGTCGGCCAGGTGGTTGCATCTATCGTAGGTTAGGTTAGGTAATCTAATCTAATCTAATCTAATCTATAATCTAATCTAATAAGGTAAGTTTAATTATATTTTTTAAACATATATGTATAGACATGTTCTGCCGCTTCGAGATGTTTAGACGCTTAAAATGTAGTAATTTTCAAACAGCTGTAAGCTCAGCGAAAAATCATTGACAAAAAAATAAAAAAGCATTTTAAAGCTTGAAATTTCCCAACAAACACTAATCAACAATAACATAGCATCAATGTTATGTTATTTGGTTAGTTGGTTAATGTTTACTGGGTTGTACTTTCACGTAGTTTAGGCCGTTTTCTCAACATTTTTTCATTTTTTTACAGTCCTGAGCTTGAAAAAAGAATGCATTGTTTTCAACACTCTATAGCTTAATAAAAAATTTTTTTACAAAATTTATAACAAATATAAAAACTTACATTTTATTTACAGAACGCTTTTTGTAAATTTTGCTATGATTTTTTTGTCCGAGATACGCGATACCGAGAAAGTCAACTCTACATTCTATATAAAATAATGTTTGCTATCGACACACACACACACACAGTAGAATTACCGTAAAAAATATAGGTTTAACTTCAAAGTCGTGTAACTCTCAGCCAAGAAAAAGTCGTAAACTTCAAAAAACGTAGGTAAAATGTTGTAATTTTTGGCATTTGTCATAAATTTGGCGAAAAAATTATTTCATCAAGCTGTAGAGTATTAAACGTACGTAATTTTAAGAACAAAACAATGTGTTCTTCTTTCGAGCTCAGAACTATAAAATTTAAAAATTTTCAAGAATGACTAAAAGTACATAAAAGTACAAATTTCAAATTTTTAATAAATATTAATATAAGCATTTAATAAAAATATTCATACATAAATATCAAGAATCCCAAAAATAGAGATACATTTTAATATTCCGCAAATAGTGAAGAATACAGCAGTATATTAATGTTTCAGCTATCCAGACAATTTAAAAAGATTAAATGTTTACTTTAGTTGTATTTTTTTATATTTTCTGTATTAAAAATAGAGTAGACGTATAAACGCTTTCGAAAGAGAGAGAGAAGAAAATGTAACAACTCTAATTAATATCTCAATATGATCTCAATATGATCGAGTTGTAATTATCAAAGATCAAAATAATATTCTTTTATATTTTCAACAAAGTTTATTCGAACAGAGGTATTGTACAAAAGTAGAATCAGATTGCTAGAATCAGATGAAATTCGTAAAAATCGAAAAAACAACGTTTCTAGAATTTCTTATAATCACAATCGCAAGGCCAAATTGCATATGAAACGTTAGTTGTAGTCGGCTTAGACGGTCGGCAAATGCGCACCCTCGGGGCGGAATCCGTTTTCGTCGGCGACGTAGTTGACAGTATACCTGACGTTAGTTTCCGGGTCGACATAGGTGAAACTGCCGCGGACGGCCAAGGTGGCATTTTCGTGGTCGATCTTCACCAGCTGGGCGGACTCCTGGTGGGCCTGGCCGTTCGACAGCTCGTAACCATAGTTATATCCATCAATGCCAATGTTGTCCAACGGGGTCTGCTTCACGAGAACTGTTTGACTGTAATCCTGAGGGGGGGCTGCGAGAGCAACAGCCACAAGAGCGAAGAAAGCAATAATCTGGAAGTAAAGAATGTCAGACAATTGGTTGATTATCGTGACGTTCCGTTAAATTTATTCGATAATTTGTCATTTTTAGGCTGTCGCTACGTCGGACAGATGTAGAAAATGATGCAATACTTTGATGCATTGAGATTTGAATACATTAATTCACACGACAATAATCTTTATATTCATTTTCGTTCAAGTTTCGTTTTTGCGTTCGGAACATATGCGAAAACAGGAATCGAAGACTCGTTAAAATTACAATGAAATTTCCGGATACCCACTGTTCTCATGTTGAAGGTAGGCGTGTACAGCTACTCTCGTTCGGAAGAAGAGACTGATGTAGATAGTCGAAATGAGCAGGGATTTTATAGTGTTCCTCCTACTGCCAAAATTTGTCTAGACCTTTGTCGGTTTACCTCTCACCTTTATTTCTCTATCCATATCGCTACTTAACACGCACGTCGATCGTGGTCAAGATTTCGACCTTCATGACAATTTTGTGCAAATTGCTTTTTTTTTTTTGAGATCCATTGCACATGCCATATGCTTGATAACTATCATATGGACAGATCTCGCGAGTTTTACTTGTAGATACTTGCTCTCTTTTGCTACATCATTTTTTTATCACAAAAGACAAACTGTATTTTTTATCATTTATCAAAAAGGTTGATGTATTTTTAGTTTGATTGTAATTAATAAATATATTTTGCTTATAAAAGAACATCAGACAATCAAATACCAGCAGTTTTATTCAAGATTTATTACAAATAAATTAACATTATTTATAGAAATAATAATAAAATAATATTACTTAATTGAAGGATGTTCATAAATTGGCATAAGCATCCATCAAGCTTTAAACATTTTTTTATTATTCAATTAAATAAGTTAGAAAAAGAACTTTACCTCTTTTATTCGAGAATTTACTTGACTGATCAATCGTGTAATTTTATGCTAATATAATGCTTGAAACTTGGCAAATTAAGCAATTCGCATTCTTTAAATTCTATAAATTAAAGGATCTTAGGCTAAAACGGCGACAAGTATATATTTAATTATAGATATTTATTACGCTTATATATAATTACGTGTTTCCCATCGGCGAAATTTCGGCCGCCCTCTCTGAAATCTTGAAGGCTGACGTGAAAATAATATATTTTTAACTTCTGGTATCAAGGGAAACTACTTGTTTAACCTATTCGGATTCTTTCGATGTATTTTATTACGCAACGCGCATTCCGCGCTCATCGTTAATGTGATGGGCATGTGATTACCTTCAAGGTTCCGTGTTCTAATATAATTATGGAATATGTGTTTGTATTGAAAAATGCCTTGAAAACACATTATTGAAGAGCCAAATTTGTTAGATGCGATATGATTCAAGATTATTTGAAAAAAACAATATTTACTAAATATAACAGAAAAATTTTTACGTAATACGGATAAAAATAGTAATAGTAAAGCAATTCTTAATTATTTTAATATATTGAATATTTTATTAAATTAATAATAGAATTCGTAGTTCTTTCTTTTTGCAAAGATAAAAATATTTTCTTGAAGATATATAAAATGCATAAAGTGATCAACACATAAAAACTCTATTTATTAAAGCATAAATAATAATTATTTAATCTCAATTTTAGTTATATTGAAAATGGTACTTTTTAAAGAAAATAGGACAATATAAAACATTAAACTACGTAGAACAAATGTAAAAAATAGACAAAGAATTGAAGAAAACTATAATTTTTCGCGAGTTTCACATTTTCTGTAATTTTTTATTTTATTTTTTCACGATTTATTTTTACGAACTAGAAAAAAATTAAATAGCTGGTATACTTCACACACATGTGTCTAAGATGCATTATTATATTCCAAGCATTTAAATTATTTATTATCAAAATTTACTGTCCTACACACAGTTTATTATAACGTATTCGCATATTTTATTGCATATTATAGACTGTATGCGAATAAATTGTAAAAATAATTTTATGTTGTTAAAATGTAGTCAATAATTATATAGTACAATGTACATTGCACTATATAACTATTGTACATTGAGCAGTTGTAGCAAATTAATTGGATCGAATTAATTTACTCATCTGCGAGGTTTATTTAAGCTCAATCTTCGTTTCACTGAGAATGTTTCCATTCCGTTAACAAATGAAAATGAGCTATCGAAAATGAAGGAATTATGGGGTTATTTAGGCAACAAGAATAATGCAAAAATGAATTTATTTAAAGCTAAGTTTGTGTCATGGGATTGTTGTGATCGAGAAATCGAAGGACAGACATCGACTTCCTGCAGGCGCAGGCATATTTAAACAATTGAAAAAAGTTTGAATAGGAGATGCGCTATTATTTACAGCTATTTCTAGCTAGGGTTTAGACGGCTGGCAGATGCGCGCCCTCGGGGCGGAATCCGTTCTCGTCGGCGATGTAGTTGACGGTGTATCGAACGTTGGTCTCCGGGTCGACATAGGTGTAGCTACCGCGAACGGCGATGCTCTCGTTCTCGTGACCGACATTCACCAGCTGGGCGGACTCCTGGTGGGCCTGGCCGTTGGAGAGTTCGTAGCCGAATTGGTATCCATCAATGCCGATGTTATCCAGAGGTGTTTCCTTTACTACCACAGGTTGGTTGATTTGATAATTAGGGCTAAGCGGAAGTGCAAGAGCGACAGCGACGACAGCGGCGAAGGCAATGATCTGAAATGCAAATTAACAATCAAATCATTATTTTAATTTTCAGTACATTTAATACGTCCAATATATTTCAGTTTTTTTTAAATTGAAATTTACGACAACTTGTTCCTAGATGGAAAATTTTTATATTTTACTTTGCAAGTCTTATTAACAATATTTAGAATGACATACAATTTTAATGGCAGAAATATATGAATGGAAAAGTCTGTCTTATTCTCGTGGGAGCAAAATATCTCCCACAATGACTGCAATTCTTTAATTCTAACGTTTGCAAAGTATTTTGTATATTTCTCGAGAAAATAACAGTAGAATTAAATGATTTGAACACAATGTGCTGTGTGATAAAAATGATATTCCGATCGCTTGGTAATCCGTGAGATCCAACCAAGGAAAAGTTTCTAAAGAATCACCACTCCGAAAGATATTCACGATTCTTTTAAGAATTTGCCGAGAAGTTTCGATATTTTCGAATCAGTCCACGAGCGATCACGCAAACACTGTTTTTTATCTTGTCCAATTATGATGATTATGATAATTTATCTTCGGAAAACACGCACCAGCTTCATGATTGATGTAGTTTCGTGGCTCTCCCTCAAAAACAAATGATCTGAGTTGAGATGGCTCACTGGACTGATTCGATACACGGCTGATGGAGAATATATATAGCCAATATTGCGGTACAAGTTACGCCCTACCATCGTTCACGGCGCTGCCAAAATTTTCATGTTCATGTCGAAATCCTTAAATGACCGGCCCAACCATAAGCGGTGATGGCACAACGACCGTGTTGCGCGGCCGAGAATGTCAGGCGGGAATGCGTGAAATGGATGCTGGTTTCACCTGAGCGGCTCGTGACAGGTTCATATCCAAAATCTGGATAATTTACACCTTTACCGAGCAAAAGTTACACAAGATTTCATTAATTGAAGTTGATTTAATTTATTAATAAAAGTTATAGTTACAAACTTGTGTGAACAGTCATGTATTTGTAATAATTGTTGAGATTAATGAGGTAATGTGTATTGTTCGTTCAAATACGGTCGTAATTTGAGCGCCGATATGAACCTCGAAGCAATTTCGAATGCACTTTGGGATATTCTTCGTTAAAGGTTACGCACAAATCTCTTTTCCTCGCGTATCCGCGTTGAATCTTAATCCGATAGTCTTCTGCAATATTTTTACGTTACGCAATACACAGACTCCTCTTAATGCGTATAATAATACGAACGTGTAGTTCTAATGCACAACTAACTAAATTTTATAAACCTAAAGAGGATAATCCATCATACATGACTTTTCTTGCATCACTCTGTGATTTGTAGAAATCTGCTGGCGATGAAACATTTCATTTAATGAGAATTAAAATTAAAAACCGAGAAAATTATAAACGAATGGATAAATTATTTTATATATATATTGTTTTTTTCTATATATATATATATATATCGGGCGATTAAATTTTATACTATTATTTTATACTATTTGAATACCAAATTATGTTTCGTAACATTTATTCATAAAGGTGTCATATTATGTAATTATACAGTCTAATAATCTCTCTCTCTGATGACACATCCTAATATTTAAAGAATTTATATATAAGAGGCAATTAATTTTGTCTGCTTTCAGATTCAAGAAAACAAGTTTTTTATGTAAAATATAGTCCCGGAATTGTCAAAAAGAAACATCTCAAAAGAAAAAGAATCTCGTCATTTCTAGCAGCGCTTTCCAGCTATGTATATCGCAAAATACATCAGTATCGTAAAAAATTGCTATCCACACGATCAATGCATATAAATAAATTTTATCTTGCTATCTTAACGCTTACGACAACTTGTTCCTAGGTGGAAAATTTTTTATATTTTACTTTGCAAGTCTTAAATATTTAGAACGACATGCAATTTTAATGGCAGAAATATATGAATGAAAAATGCTGTCTTATTCTCTAGATAATTTAATAATTATGAAATTTCATAAGTATTAAATTATCTTAATAGCAAGAATATTCTCCAGTCATTAATCAACTGTTAATATCTCTCAAAATTTTGTTCGGAACATAATTTGATATTCAAATAACCATCAAGTGCCCAAATTGACAGTCCTGTCTTATAAAAATTGCAAAAAAATTCTTCTTTTGTTGCATATTTATCTTCCGCTTGAACAGCAATCTCATTGACTGACACGAATTATATCATCAAGTAATGAAGGTGAAATGATGCGCGCGCGCAGAACTTTGAAAAGAAAGTGTACAGTTACATAACTGAATGGTTTATGCTAATGATCGAGACAGACAGAAAGAGAGGGAGAGAAAGAGAGAAAGAGAGAAGGAGAGTGAAAGAGAGAAGAAGGTTCATTACGGAGAGGAAAAATCTATTTTGTGGGAGGATAAAAGTCACCGATGCCACGCGCCTTCGATCTTTTTCGCGTAATCCGACATCTACGATGGGGTGGGTAGTATTATATCTTATAAAATAGTATTACATCGGACTATTCGCATATATTTCTCATTATAGCGGCTTATAGTGGTTATAAATTATAAGCTTGCATTTCGCGTCTATTGAAAATTAAATTACTAAAAGACAAACATCTAATTAAAATTATTTGCTTTCTCCACGCAACGACAGATTTTTATTTATCCAGGTACACACATCTCGAACAAAATATTATCTCTCATGCGTATTATTATATTATATAATATACTATTATATTATCATCACACACACGAGGATTCTATCAAACTTTCTAATACATCTTTGCGACAAGAAACATCGCATATCGCGTTATGTCATACGCAATCGCTACATACTATTAAGCTGTACACATAATTACATACATTTATAACTAATAATATATAATACACGTGCCGCGTAAGCTAACTTGCTAATTAGTATAGACAGATTAACGATCGGGGAATGTCCAATTGCATTATATCGATAAAAAGAATTTATCAATTTATTTATTATTAATTAATGAAGAACATTAATTCTTTATACTTTTCACAAATTTGATATTTCTTCGAGAAAGAATTTATTTTGTAATTAAAGAAAGGAATGTTAAAATACAAATTAAAATAATGGAATACATTATGAAGAGTTTTTATACAAATTAAAATAAGTAGGAATAAATTATAGATAAGTTGACGCGGATTTTTTAATTATGTTATTGCAAAAAAAATGTTTTCAAAAAAACTCTTGAAATTCACGAAAAGTATTGAAGACTTTTACGGACAATATGTATGGGATATTAAATGATCAGCCGAATTAGTACATGGTCTTGTAGCGGCGGCCACATCGCATCGTGACTCTTCCTTTTTTGCACGGTTTCTTTTTAAAAGCGCGATGTTATTGTATAATCGTTAGTGTGCGAGCAAGGCGGGCGCAGTGGGATGCAAAAAAGATGCGCGACCATTCTGAAAGAACAGATGCGAAGTCGTTTGTCTTGCGACGGTGTTATGCAAAGATCTTTAATCTGAAACACGTTACGCGTTACGTGTTACGAGGGTCCACGGCGACACCTGATCCCTATCATCCGATCACGCTTTAATAATCAATAATTTAGTCGGCAACTTTATTAATAATTTCAACAGAATTATTTCTACGAGATATTCAAACACAGCTTTTTAATTGATGGATGGTAGAAGCGCAAAGGCAAGAAATCTTAGAATCGCAAATAGAAAAATACGAAACAAGTTAAAAATGCAGAGATATGCTTTGCGTTTTTTTTTATAAGAAAAAAAATATTAAACGTGCAAAGATCTGTGGAATTTTCATATTTGCACGATGAGGTGTGTCGGAAAAACCTCTTTCTGCGGACGTTTATATCGGCGACGGTTTTACGACCGTGAAATTATATGCGTTGTGATTAGATACGGAGATTCTTAAGAGCGATCGTCGATCCTGCTGGTGAAAAGACGAATGAAAAACGCGCGGGAGGACGCGACGTTGCTTTTCAACGAGGAACTCGCGCACAAGTCGAGAATTTCGCAAGAATCCTGCTGGACCGCGCGCACGAGGTCGTCGCCATTGCCGGCTAAAGGCACTCCTTGCGTAATATCAACTCCGAGCACGATGGCACGGATCCTAAATGCCACCACACTCGGGCGGTAGACAGATGAGTCTGTATACACGGTACTCGTTTGCATTAGAGGACGATTCAAGCCACATGGCATCAATGATCTATCAGCAGGCTTTGGTAACTGATCTACAGCTGTTATGATAAATTAATTGGCACCTTTTTACGTAGAAAAAAATAGAAATTTTATCTCATCGAGAGGCAATGATTGCTTAAACTTAAATATATAACGAGCCGAATTCTTTAGTTTAATCTCAGACGCTTAAGAAAAATTTTATTTTTGCTGGCTCGAAAATTGCTAATATTCTGACATGAATATTTTTGACTGAAAAAAATTTATTATTTTTATTCTAACTCACGTTAAAATTAAAATTATAAATTCTACATCATTTAATTAATGTCATTATCTAGATTTATGCCGCGTTGCCGTAGCGAGGTTCGATTGAGCTTGTCTGACTAGTTCTATCGTGAACTACTGAGCGCGCGGTTCCGCGGAATCGCATTATTGTTTTCTTCGAACATCCTTTGAGTATTTTACGCACGCGATATCGGCAATTGATTTACTTCTTATGTGTCTCGTGATAATCTGTCGTTGCATGCTAAAAGCGCATCATGCATGCACGTTCGACACGTATGGTCGACGATACATCCTCATAATTTGCGCGGAGTTTCCTCGCGGCTCGCGTCACGCGGATGATGCAGCTAGATAAGATAATTATACCAGCAGGATGTGACCTTCTGTGAGGGTGTTTAAAGGTGGCGATAAATAGGTAGCCGGCACCACAAAGGTGAGCCAATCGATGAAAGAACGTCTCGTTTAAAATTACGTCGTTACGAAGCGGATATTTACACGCATGTCCTTAAAATTCCATACAATTATTTCGTTTTCACGTTCATGTTCACGTCAAATCATAGGGAACAGTGTAAAGAATTTGATGCATTTTTATCATACCGAAAAATTCATCAACGAGACGTTGATATATGGAAGAATAAGGCAACATAATCAAACAAAATCGCAGAAAAATAGGATAATTACGTTCGCATGATTCTTCTCTGGCAAAGCGATCCGGAAAACTCACGCTGTGCCAATTAGCGTGTGAGATTTGCATGTTGAATGAAACAAACAATGGCTTATCTTCGGGAAAACATCGACACCGAATGTTCTGGTCGAGCATTCTGATCAAATGCAGATACTGTTTCTATTTTTTATCTGTTGTTAAAATCTCACTTTTAACACGGCAAGTCGACGCTTTAAATGCATTCGTACAGCTCAAATTGGATCGTAGGCAGAGAAAGAAGGATTTGGATTAAATTCTAAGCTTTTAAAAGCAGTGTTAACGAGAAAAATAGGCTATTAAGGTCAAGGATAAAACCAAAGTTGCTACATACTTATACTTTTTTTATACTTTTTACGTTCTTGATTAACCGTGACTAACTATCGATATTCATGCAGGCATTCCGAGCCGGTTTTTTGTCAGGCATTTTTACATATTCCGAAGGATCTGGGAACTCCCACACTATCTAAACTCTTGACGGAAAATTATTCGTTACCTCTATCGATTAAAAATAATCGCGATACCCATTATTGCCTATTCAACTTGTCAAGAGTACACAGGGATCTGTTATTTCCAATAATTTGCCAAGAGCCGTGAACTTTTCTTCAAAAAGATTGGCGGAGTAAATAAACGGTACTTTCACGTGAAAATACACGGTAGTACGAAGAGACGGATTCATCATCAAGGACAGCGAGACAATTGTCATAATTGTTCAATTTCATCGAGTAGAAGAAGAGGAGGCTGTGTGACATTGCTTCATTCCGCGATGTCCGTGGAGACTTGCACGCGGAAATGCAATTTCGTCCGACATTTGACTCGAAGACGATATCGACCGGATAGCGCGACTTCTCGTCGTTTCTCACGTAGGTTGCAGTCGCGCCGCTGCCGACCTTTGCAGCCGGTTGCGAGATCGAAAAGGCACACGCTTCTGTCGTGTGTCGAACGAAAAGCGGCCCCAATCTTATTGCGACTGGAGCATCCGCAATTGCAAATTATTCAATTCTCGTGTATGTGAAAAAGAGCGTTGATCTTACTGAATCATATATGTCTTATAAGAAAACATAAGAACAGTACAAATTACAAAAAAAAAGTAAAAATAGTACAAAATATGACAAAAGTAAGGAAACAGAAAAAATGCAAGAATAATAAAATTTTCGATAAGTTAGCAAAATAGCGAAAGTGATGATATGAATAATAACCATATTTATAGATGCGTATCGCGACACACGTACTTGCACATCTGCCGCGAACATATTGCCAGCGTGTACGAATGATGCGTGAGCGAGGCGAGTGCAAAGTGGCGGGTTAAGAGAAGAGAAAAGTAGGGAAAGAGCCAGTCAACTCGCTGACATTTACTCGCTTTCGCGCACTTTTGTACAGCGGCGCGTCTATGCGAACACCGGACTATGTACTTATTGCAACGTCCTTGGCAGCCGGGCTCACCGCAAGCTCTCATCTCTCTAAATCGTCTCGCTAAATTGATCCTAAGAACTTTATCTCGAGAAACGACTCTTTAATACGCACGTAAATAGCACGCCACCGGTTTCTGCTTCCAGAGATACATTATTGAATATATTATGTGTCAACCTTGCGGCAGCACGCGATCACATTAAAATCCATTCGCAAGAATTTCAATTTGTTGAAAAAGAATGTCGATAATTTATTAAAGATAAAAGGCTCTTCATACTTGCATATTTATAAACTTTATTGCAATCCTCTTGGGCGATGGAAATTCAGTAGCTAACTAGTTTCTGAATCCAAAGATTTATTGGCTACACAATATTACACAATCGATACCTATAAATCGATATCTATAAATAAGTCAGTAAATTTAATTTAAAAAAATAATAATAATAGAAATTTAATTCTTAAAAATACAAATGTAGACATTTTTCATTGCGCAACAATTTTATGAGACATTTGAATTTGAATCTTACGTCTTTCTTCCTGAAAACTACATCTAAGTATCTATTGCGTAATTTAGAAATACATATTTCAATAGACAGGTTTATATGGAATTTAACGCCGCGCGTCCTTACTTGGAATTTAAGGTTGTAACCTCGCGCTGTAATGCCTCGTTGAAAAGGTTCGTGCCTTCGTGCAATTCATCGACTATCGCACACGGGTACTATTTTTTATCGCCGCCCCTTTCGTATATCATTCATCGCCGATCCCTCGTAGAAGTGGATGCAAAAACGTCTTCTGGAAATCCATGTTTTTGGTTGACATTTCGACATATCAATTTCACTTTCTCTTATTTGCTTTTAATTATATATTATTGTACGTGTACGTTACAAAATTTTATCACGACTTATACATATATTTTTTTTCCAAAGAACGATTATTAATGCAAATTCAATTTTTGATGTATTCGTAAGCAAGATATTATCCGAATTGTATTCGACTCCAACTTTCTCTTAATGAAAAATTAATTCTGAAGCATTTTAGATTTCTAAAAATCTGAAGATTAAATCTCCATGTTGTTTGATTAATTATGAACGCTTCATGTTGACAATATTAACGAAGCAAATCCTTGACTTGTTTTCAAATGATTAATAAATATCGAAGTGTGAAGTTTTGTAACAGTTAATGTTTATTGTGACATAAGAAATCAAAGTTCCTTGCTAAAGTGAGATAAAGTAATTTGCTAAAGTGTCATGTAAGCAATTAGTTATTCCGCATATTTTAAGATGACGATAATATATTTAAAAAATATGTTTACTACTATAGTTATTTCTTTTATAAATATTAAAAATTTTTTAAATTTTAAATTTGATCGATAAAATTAAAAATGGAACATTAGCATTAGTTACGTATAGGCGTACATTTACATATTGAAATAATCGATTAATTTGACAAAAGGCGAGCAATATACTTTTACTCAGAAGAGCATTCGATATAAGAATACAAGAGAGCTTTTAACGCTAACATAAGATTAAATCTGGCCCTGTGCATATTATAATATTTGCAGTCGGTCTTTTTATAATTATATTATTGCAATTAATATTTAGTTTAAATGTGAAAAAATTCTTGAGAAATGGATTTAGCGCGATAATTTTTAAAAAATGTGTTTGCTCATTAAACTGGTAGTGTCATGTGATTGCAAAATTACTTATTATTCTGAGTCCTTATCATCTGTATATTTTCATATTTTATGTGCAATAAAAATGGATTGATTTATCGCACGTATAAAAAAATCGAGAATTTTAATGATGCAATTATGTAGCAAAAGACGCATCTGAATTTGAAAGCATTTGTCTAAAAAAAAAATTATAGATGATATAATGAAGCTAAAATAAGCCGCAGTTCTAGATTAATGCAAACGCGAATTTCTCGCCGTGCGAATCGCATGTAATCCCACGTAATGAACGAAGATGCAATACGACGGTCCACAGAGAAAGAGAAAAAGAGAAAGAAACTCGTATTCTTCGTGATCTTTGCATAATCGATGTATAATCATCGGAGTCTCTGCGTTTACGATCGCGAATCGTGACGAACACTGACTTTCTCACGTGCAAAAAACATAAAGACGAAAAGACGGGTGTTTCAACATTAGAACGGCAAAGATATTTTTGCATCAAAGCTGGTAATCCACGTCACATTAAAATAACATTCTTTGTTTAAAGAGAAGAATCTAGGCAAATATAATTGTAATATACATACATGTACACACACATATAATCCATCATACAATATTTTCATTATTTTCCTGCGAGATTCGCTGATTTTAGCGAGAATCTATGTGACGTCGATGTTATAAAGTTCATTCGTAACAATTTTTTATTACATAAAAAATAATTAGATATGGAGGGGGCAAACATTTTGGAAGAAACGGAAACAGAGAAAAGATAACAGAGAAGGAAGGGAAAGAGAGAGAGAGAGAGAGAGAGAGAGAGAGAGAGAGAGAGAGAGAGAGAGAAAAGAAAAATATCGTCAATTGAGAAGTAATGGAGCATATATGCGACAGCCGCAGGCTGTCGTCCTCCTGAAGCACCTGGTCGCCGTCGCATCTTCTGAAATGGCAAGGTCACCGATAGTTACGTCACCAACTTTCCTCCGGCGTGTACAACTTCGAGAAAACCAAATGTCACAATGACCAAGGACGTATCGACCGCGCCGTAATGTTGCCTCTGGCCAACAACGATGAAACCGCAATCGTAGGAATTCGCGGCACAAGAGTTTCGGCTTTCACATTTTCGGTCGAATCTGCACGCGAAGAAAAACGCAACGCAAGTGGATGCACAGTCCGTGGACGACATTGGCCTTGCAGTCGATGTCTAAAATAAAGGGGGGAAAAAAAAAACAAAAAGACGGATGAAGATGAGATGCAGCGATTGAAGAATCGCCGCATTGTAATATGAGAAACGAGAACAATTGTCTTTGTGCTCAGGCGAGGAATCGCCCTTGACAGTGATTCGCAGATTGTTTCTGCGGAAAATGTTTCGAATGATTATTTCGCGATGCACCTGAATGAACAGCATGCGAGTTAAAGCATACAAATAAGCGAGACGCGCTCGTCTCGCGACGCAACGATGTTGCGTAACGCTTAAAGTGCAGCAAAGCCGAGAACGTATTCGCGTTTTATAAAACATCAATCAATATTTAATTTGAAAAACAATTACGCACTGTTGTTTTACACGTGTGCGCATTAAAATGCGTATGAACGTAAGCGAGCAAAACGCGGCATGACGATAAACGATAATTCTTATTTTAGCATGATAATTTTTTTTCCCATCGGCAAATATCACCCAATGGAAGAAGATGAGTTGGACGTCGTTACGTTCCGTCACGTCTTCCACGTATTTGTGGTAAACATATTTAGCAAATTACGCGTCCGCATCGCGCAGAATATGCGAGGGCCGACGTCTAATAGCCGCTGCATCATCGATCGCATCGCGGATGCATCCTAGCGGGATGCGATCGCGAGAGGCTCATCCGCGAATCTATCGGGGGCTGCCGCGTGCACGGGGTGGGAGAGGTGCATCGGTATTGCGATTTTCCGCCTATATAAAGGCAGATGCATCGGGAATCCTTGGTATCACGTCGTATCGGTCGTCGTTTAAGGACGAAGGGTCGTCTCTGGGATCGCTCGACCACGAAGGGATCTAATCGCGATGAAGACGGTGGGTCGCAATACATCGTGCAATTTTTCGGCGGCGCAATCTTTAGGGTGGGAGACCAGCCGAGGGTTACGCCAGTTTCGGGTGCCGTGGATTCGGGCGCAGCCTCCCGATTTTTACGCAACAGTGAAAGTGAAGAGGATTTGTGACATCTGTGCGCGTGAGCGTGAGATTACGCACACTTTTCGCGCGTGATACACGCGACCTGCAAGGAGAACGTCTACAGGGCGTCGCAAAACCCCAGCGAATGTAATTTGGATGATAGAACACGATCACAATTAGGAGCACACTGTTTCGTCAGAAGAATTGCAGAAAACCTCTCACATCAACCTCTTAATGTTCCAAATTCGACATTTCAGATCAATTCAATTCTTGAATTGAAATTCTAGAAAGCAAAATCAGTTTTGTATTTAACTGATTAATGCAATTTGTTTATTCAGCTTTATCAAGAAAAATTTATTATTAGCCTGCGAAAACTATTTATATATATATAATTTATAACTCAAAAACTCAAGAGCTTCGACAATTGAAACAATTGCTTTCAAATTAATCAAAGTTATCAGATTAACATAAGATTTAGGACACCTTGTATATAACCGAAAAAAAATCTTTCCACTTGCCGAGAAATCGATTACGATATTTCGGGTTAATTTCGTAAGAACAATAATCTAATAATGACCGCCGAAAGGTCAAGTTCCGAGAAACGACTGAATTTTTGACATAAATGTTGCGTATCAGTTTTCGTAGCGGCCTGTAATCGATATACATAAAATTAATACATGTAAATAATTTAAAAATATATACATTTCGTAACAAATACTTTATGAGATAAAGATTCAAACATATATGATATAGCGTTATAATATAAAGTACAAAATATATCTAATTATTTTCGAACAAGTTAACAATGAGAAAAATGATAATCTTCTTGTTCTTATTTTGTTTAACAAAGTAATTTGTTTGCTTTTTTCCGTGCAGATTCTTTTCATCTTGGCGCTTGTAGCAGGTGCTCTCGCAGCGCCACAAAATCCAAATGAGGTCACAATCGTAAAGCAGGAAGAGGTGAACAACATAGGGGTGGGCGGATATCACTTCAGCTATGAACAGAGCGATGGTCAAAAAAGGGAGGAAACAGCCGAATTGAAAAACGAAGGCACCGAGAACGAAGCACTTAGCGTTACCGGCAGCTTCAGTTTTATTGCGCCGGACGGGCACACGTATAGGTACGAGAAATCAAAGCGATGACAAGAGCCAATTAATTCTAGAAGTTATTATATATACATATAAAAGGCTTTTACAAGAATCATCTTTCATATTCGAAAAAAAATGAGACATTTACTTGCATTATTCCAGCTGAAGATGTATTTCTTATTTAAAAAACCATAAAAATTGGAACACGAAGAAAAGAGCATTTTAAATTAAATAATTAAAAGTTTTATTAATATATATTTAATTATTTCAATAATATACTTTAATATTAATAAGATTTTCATAAAATTATCTCGTGCTCTTTATATGCGATCAGACATGTCGTTTGGAGATATTACGACACTTAATGAAATTCATCTTTTTAACATCCTCTTTAATTATAGGGTCGATTATACCGCGGATGAGAACGGATTTCATCCTACTATCAATCTCGTTGCGAAATAACCGGACTCGAGGACTGAAATTATATTACAATACATAGGACTCTCCGGTCGTCGACGTATACTCGTGTAATTACACGCGTATTAAAATATTGTAATATATATATTTTGTGCGAGACACGTGATTCACCAATGCAAATCAATGCAAATGTAAAAAAATTGCTGTCAATGGCTGGCTGAAAAATGATCCATTTTTTGCACGATCGATCTTTTCCGACCGATTCATTCTCGCCAAATTGATCGCAATACTTTGCATAAAGGGCACTGTGACATGCATGCATACGATCATTGTTTAAAACCAATAACAATTGTACAATTTTGTGATTAGGCTGAAGTCGTTAGATTTCAACAATCACCTTTGCTTTAAATATAAAAATAATTCTTCGGACAATGCCACATACATTTGCGTGAATAAATTCTTAAAAATTAACAAAATTATTTCGCTATATTTATTTCTTCGATATATTCGCGGAAAGTGCATCCGCACGTATTACGAAATACGAGCTGTACGTTTGCATGCATTCACCTGCCTCAAAAGTGAAACGCGTGCTTACTCGCAGCAGGTAATATCCACTATTTAGTTTCTCAAAATCATCAAACACTTTGAACGAGAGACGTCAGATTTTTTCGTTTGTAACTCCATCTTGGCGAGGCGACGGTGTTAGCTCTCATTGAGGCGCCGCGGTATCTGCGTTTTTGACGAGCGCTTTTTTTTACACACACATCTATATGTATCTAACAGAACGCAAATCGTACAAATAAACTTGTATACAAACTGAAAAATCTCTACAATTGTTTAATGACAAATATTTTTCTTTCTACATAATCAACAGCGCATTGACATTTTTTTTCCAAATTTTGTTTCTTAGTTTCTTAAATGTTATACAATTTTAAGTAAGCATATTTTTATAAACCATATATATATTTGATAGTAGAAACAAAAATTGTTTTTCGTAGTATGTAAAAGATGTTTAATCAGATATAAAAAATTGATTAGATAATATCTATGCTACAAATAATATCGGCACATTAGTATATTAATGTATGACAATTACACAAATCAGGTTGTATAAAATTACATATCAATTACTCTTAGATACATGTTAATATATAAACTCGTAATTTTGCACGTATTTTGCATAAATATATTAGTATTAATATAATTAGTAACGATTAATTTCTATACAATTAAAGTATTTACAATTTTTTTAATGTGTTATATTATATCGAAATAGTATTGAAATACATGTAATTACTTGGCAAATATATGACTAAAAATGCGACTGAATACACAAGAAATTAATCATGATTAAGTATAGCAGAAAATTGTAATATCATAGAATTGATTAATTGCAAACTCATTTCACAATTTTGCATATCAAGTTTTTTTCGTAATTGTTAGGTGTAATAAATGTTATTCTTTTTTATCAATCATATATGTAGAACTTACCCAAAAGACCCAAAAGAAATTTCGTAAAAGTTTGTAAATATATTATCTTTATAAATTTTAATTGTTAGTAAGCAGTTAGTAAACAGCTATTAAATATGAAAATGTTTGTTCTACAGATTACGTCCGTATACGATAAAAATTTATCGATTAGAAATAAAAAAATATATTTCGTATATATGCATTATCTATGGAATTATAGGATACAATTTTTCGTCTAATATTTAGCAAAAATAACTATTTTGGTCAAACATATATATATAATTTTATTAAATATAAATATATATATATATTATTAGAGTATTCTGTTATAACATTTAATTAATATGTAAATGATGCGAATATTCATGTGAGAAAAAATAGAAATTACGTTCGACCAGAGTAAAATTTTCCTTTGTGTGTACGCGACGTGTTTTATAATTATTACAAATGTGAATTTTTTTTATTAATTCAAATAATTTGAAAATTAGCTTGAGTAATTCAAGTTAGACTAAATCGAATTAATCAAGCTACTCTGGTCGAACATAGTTATTCTAAATCTTCCCTCATATCAATATTCACAGCAAAATACTCCCAAATAACAGATTTTCCTTACTAAATAAGAGACGAAAAATTTTATTCTATATTTCAATAAACAATGCATTTATACATCAATCGTATATTTCTTACCTTCAATAGATTGGAACGTACCTAAATACGTTACAAAAGCTTAAATCAATTTTTTAAACTAAATTTATACTAAACTGTATCCCTAAATGATCCCCAAATTCTAATTAAGCTCAAAGTTTTATTCAACTTCGATATCCATTGTAATCCCTCTTCTTTCGTGTCAGCTAATAAAAAGTACCTGCAAGCATGGCATATGAAGAGAAATGTTTCTTTCATGAAAAGTAGACTAGAAAATAACGATACATACTCTATCGTGGTTTCAATCCCATTCGTTTTCATAACGAGACTATTAGCGTCTCCAGATTGTGCGGGTCTCGATGTCTCAAGTAGAAATGTGTAAGGACGAGCACACTTTTCTCGATTTACAAATTGTACATTCTTTGTAAATACACCTGCAAACGTGATACCGTGAGTACAATATCAGAGATTAAATCCGAAATAATCGAAGAATTACGATAAACAAAGAATCAAAGTAAAATTACCTTCCAAATCAACGTATCCTATCGGATTTTTCTCGTGTTCGTCATCAGGATGTAGCCAGTAGTAAAGTTTAGCGTCCTTAAGCCGACACCATCTTCTACGCCAGGCTCCCAAGTTTGAAATATCTTCGAAAATTGTCAAAAATCCACGATGCTCTACTGACTCCGACAGTTTACGCGATATGCGCATTCGCAAGTAGCCCTCCAAAGGAGAATACGATGAGACCTAAATACAAAATGCACGAATTGTATATGGAAATATATATATCGAATTTAATTATATAAGTTAAATTTATGAAATTGTACATTGCAAAATCATACCTTAAGCAAAGTAAATTGCTCGCGATTTACATCGTTTAAAGTAATGATGGTAGTGCCCATTAATTGGAAAGCAGGTGACCTGATCGCGGTTGGACCTGCTGGGCTTTCTATGTACGGTGTTACAAACTGATTTTTCTTTTTCGGCGTCTTATTTATCGTCTGTAAAAAAAAATTAAAAAAGTTTGACCATTGCCTAGAAATTCTCTTTTATTGAATATTTGTTTCCGAAAATATAAGAAAAAAAATCTTGCTTTTACACTCACTTTTACGTTGTGACCGATATGATATTTCTTTTCATGTGGCAAATATTTTGGTTGAGTTTGAAAAGAATATACTTCAACATTGATTTTGAAATCACTGTGCAAATCATCGAGTTTTAGCATTGAGGGAAACCGAATACATGAATCACCTGGTTCAGCAGTGGCTGCTTGAGTAGCGATCACTTCTCCTAAGTGAGACATCAAGCAAACACAATGAAGATACGTATCTGCAACAATTGATACAATTATTTTATTATACATTCTATAATATTTTATATAAAACCAATATAAAAAGTTGACGCTTTGTACTCACTAATGCCCATATTCCGGAAATATTCTTGCTTTAGTGGTAATGTAATAGCAGAAATGGCTAAAGATCCACTACCCTGCATTTCCGGCGAACCTGCCCTGACAGGTTTCAATGTGCCTTCTCGCTTTAATCTTTGTATTTCATTCAATGCAGCTTGTCGTTTGTGAGCTAAAAAAAAGGGTATTTTTCTTTGTATCAAGATTTAAAAATTTGGTGTACTACATGTACTACGATTAATTTAAACAATTTTGCATATTAGCAAAATTAAATAGTATTATATATTATATATTAAAGTATTATATATTCAATTTAATTTAATGAACATCAAATGTATGTAAAACTGATCATAAAAAATATAGAAATAAATATTTACTAGCGATAAGCAAAGCCCATTCGGCTCCCACGTGTTCACTAGAGCCATTAAATTCGACACTAGAGTTACATAGGTTTAATGCTTTAGAGGCTCCTTCGATTTTCTTCTGCTGCTGCTGAATGTCATCCAATAATTTTTTCACTTTATTTTCGACCAAACGTGATTCATCTTCATGTTTATTCGCATATCCAGAAGCTGAATTTGATCCTGTTGACTTTGTAGATGAACGCAAAGGCGTTTTAACCAACTGAAATTATAATACCATAAATTTCTTTATGCACATGTCCATTCAAATGATTATATCCATGAAAATAATATTGAATTTACCTCAGATTGCTGGCGTCTGTACGCACTAACGGTTCGCAGCAACGGTACGCGTTTGTCACCATCTTCTAACCACAAATCAGAGGTTTTCTTTGGAGTTGAAATCGGTGAAGATTTTAATGGCGAACGGTATCTGCAAAATAGAAAATTATCTCTTAAAAGACGAGCTCAAAAAAAAAAAATAATTTTTAGTAAAAACCAAAATTTATAATTGGGCGTACTTAGTACTATTGCACGCTGTCGACGAACTCCCGCCATTTTTGTTCATTTTTGGTGGTGTTGGACCTTCTTTTACATCATCGCAAAAATCTTCCATGTCAAGACATTCATCCAAATATTGATCCATTTCATCGAGTACTGAAATGTCTGTTGTAGTGCTATCTGGATCTGGCTCTATAGTTCTCTGCAATTGGAAGGAATATTACAAAAAATAAATATATAACAATCTACAATAATATCGTGACACACACTCTTAGTGCCCATATTCATACCTTTTTGTTAAACAACGAACGTTCATTAAACGCATGCAATATACTACGCCCAAGACTCGTACGCCCGACAGATATATTGTGTATGTTTTCCCGCTCACTTTCAGTCTCCCGATCAGTTTCATCCTATAAAGAATTATAAAATATAATAATTGTAAATTTTATCATCATACATACACTTGATCATTATGCAATTATTCATTTTACTTGAACGTAATAATCGTCTTCGGTGGCCGTCTCAGTTTCAGTTTCAGTTTCAGTTTCATCAAGCGTGGCTGTTACAGCCTCGCTATCAACAGTGTACTCTGAATCGGTCTCACTTTCTGTAACCTCGATTTCAGATAAATTAGGATAAAGTGCTCCTGGTTTCGGTGGACGTACGCGAATACGTTTAACTTCGGACACTGCATTTGAATTATGAACCTTTGGCGGACTTCCGATAACTATAAAGTACATTCAACAAATTGCCATGTTACAAATATTATAAAATAAGAAATACAGAAGAAAAATAGTATCTTTCTGTACCTTGTCTTTTTACCGGAGAAGATTTGCTGTGATAGGATATAATTTCAGGTTGTGGTAACGGCGGAGGTGGTGGAGGCTGAGTGATATGATCCTATTAATAAGATAAATAAAAAACACAATTCATAATGATTATATTGACCATGTTCACATTATTCTCTTGTATGGTTTGTAATTTAATTTTACCGGAGCAGGAGTTGGTTTCACTGGACAAACGAGCGAACTCTTCGGCGAGCACGACTTGCCACCCCCTTCGCTACTTTCGCTCGTCCGAACACAAGATCCTGCAACGGCACGAGCTATCTCTTTATTGGCATTGAAGCGCGAACGCAACATGCCTAACTCACGCTGTCTTTCGGCATGGGTAGCTTGCAAAATATGATTTTCCATTTCTTCTACTTTTTTATTGTTACCTTGTTCAAATATCGCACGTTGCTCAAGAACTGTTTTACTTGGGACATTTATCGGAGACGAATCTAAAAAAAAAAAGTTGTTCGACATTCTGCTTTCCACGCCTGATATTGTTGCAACTAAAAACTATACATACCTATATTAGATCCTGGCTTATCCTTTTCTTGTAGTTTATTAGGCGGTATCGACATTGTAAGCGGAGCTTTGGGTATTAATGGCGCTTCTCCTTTATTCCGCTCGAAAAACGCCATTCTTTCGGCAAGCGACATTTGAGCAGGATCTTTCGCTTTTGTATCCATATTTTTAGCCTCAAACATTGATGCTTTACTCAACACTGAACCTGACGGTTGTACCAAAGTCTTTGGCGAGCCATTAAATCCAGTTCTTGGTGGTAATCGAGAAGTGCTAGTCGTATTCGCGTTTCTAACCATTTTTTCAGGAGTATTGGAAACTTTACTGTCATTACTTTTAGCAGGACTACTAGACAGATCAGAGTCAGCTTCCATTTTCTTATATCTCGGCGATTTGCTAGGCGAGATTTGCTTCTTTTCCTCCATCTGCTGAGAAGTTGTGAACTTGTTAGACGATAAATGACTTCTAGCATTGGATTCCTGGGAACAATGCTTATAGTCATACACAAGGCGAGTATTGCTTTTCGTACGATTGAAGCCTTGAGCCTCCTGTAAATATTTCTTTTAGCTTTCCAAACATAATCATTTAATTACTACTTCTTGAAAAAAAAAGAAAGAGGAATATGAAAGTACATATAAAAAGTACGGACGTATAAAAGTTTAAAACTTTATATAAGTGTTCGTAAAAAGTTTTAGAAAGCTTTAGCACTTTATCTTGTAAGGATAAAATTTCAAATATTTTACCAAGTTTTCCAATACAGTTTTATCCCATTTTAATTTAACTGGACTTGGATGTTTGCTCTTCTTCTCACTGTTAATGACAATCCATTTGCTGTCTTTACTTGTGCTGGGTTGTGACTCTAATGCACTTTTAACTTGTTCATTAAACTTTGCTTGTATCTTTTCTGCTTTGCTATCTGTTGGCTTAGTCTATAACAGAATTGCGCATATATATCACCATTAAATATACAAATAATTTTATTATTTTATTTGAATTGTATATAAAATAAATATTATAAAGTACCTTCGAATTAGTTATTGTTGGATGTGATAAATCATCTTCCCAATTGTTTATTGTTGAAGCCAAAGCTGCTAATCTGTCCAGTCTAGCACCTTTCTTTATTGGTTTGTGCTCTGTGTTTTCTTCTGCACTGAATTTTTCTTCAGTTCGGTGTATTGGAGAACTTAACCCAAGATTATAATCATCTATGCAAGAAATTATTATATATATATTAATTTTTTTCTGATGTACATAAATATAAAATAGTAAATTAGAATTAAAAAATAGTATAATGGATCATTGGATTGCATCACCACGTTAAATTTCGCAACTGTTTCCTTTAAATTCTGATTTATTTTGGTTTAATAATTATAAGAATCTTTTAGTTGATCAAAATGTTTGTAAATATTTTTTAGCACGCGATTATTACATATACATATATTTTGCGTTTGCTTTGTTAGTTTATTTGTCTTTTCGTTGAGATACAAAAAACTGGAATTTAAATAAGCTCATCCTTTGTAGAATTTTTCCAGCAAAAATTATAATTTTATTTAATTAAAGATTTAATTTTTTAAAAAACGAAATTGCATTCAAAAAGAGGAAATATAATCATTCACACACACACATGTGCTGCTTGCTGTATTTAAATATGTACTCATGTATTAGTGCAGGAAACAAGTTTCAAGCAACTTGCGTAGGCGAGCTATGGATACAGTGTGTGGGAGTAACTAAATAAAAAGATTCAGAGAAAGATTTAAAAGTATAACGTACTATTTATCTATAAAGAGATAAAAACATTCAAATGTATGTTTAATACATTTCCTGTCAGACCGATTTTTGATAACTTTCCGTTTATATCGCGTGGATTGCATATGCCCCATGTGTCGAGATAAATATTTTATTTACTTTATATTATTTTATATATATATATTACACTGCAATTCGCAGTGTGATAACTGCAGTATACATGATTTTATTAAATAATGATAAATGTTACATTTAATAATAAAAATATACAATGGAAAGTTTGGTGTGTATGCAACCCACATGGCAGGGAATATATTGATATATTTATTTTATTACGTTGCTTACCAGAGTATAGTTTTCCAAGTCTCTGCAATTTGGATCGTACCATGCAAGTTCCAATCTCACCATTCTCTTTGTTATCTGGTTCATTATTCTCAGATATAACGCTTTGAGGCATTGGAGATTTGCGAGGAGATTTTGCAGGAAGAGTATTGCTTGTAGTTACTTTAGCTGGTGATTTAGCTGAGTCTTCGCTTGCTGCTATTGAACAATATACATATAGTATAGTTATTATAGTTTTTTTCTTAAAATTATAGGAAGCTAGCAGTTATACATTTTATTTTACAATTTATCTTATTTGTTTTCTTTTTATATTTTAATTTTATAAAATATATAAAATAAACTTGTTAAAAAAGAAAAAATTACCTGCAGCTTGTTCCAATAAAGCATTTGCATCCTTCAAAGGACTCCGTCTTTTTTTAATATCGTGTCCTGCATTTAACAATTGTTCATCTAATTTCTCCCTCCTTGCTTTAGCACGTTCCAGCATACGCTATTCATCAAATTCAATATATAATAAAATATAATACAATAGCAATAATGCATTATACAAAAATTCTTGTGTATATCAGGATTTATATAATTTTCATATTTAATTTCATATTAATTTGATTACAATAATATTACAAATGTCACATGTTTAATTATTACAAATATAACAATAAAACTAATAATTATTATAAAACTAATCTCTATTTTTACAATTTCATGTTTTGTTGTTTAAAGATATTAGGTTGTTCAAATATTAAGGAGATTAATTTTTTTTTAAGTAGTATAAAAAAACATTTATTTAAAAATATTATACTTATTATATATATTTCTAAATAAATGCTTTTAATAAATGCTTACAATAGTAAGTATAATATTTCTAAATAAATGTTTTTATATTACTTTAAAAAAAATCAGTCGTTAATACTTGAATCTAGTAATATTAAGAAAACTTTTGTCACAAAATTATCTAAGAAATTAAAAAATAATAATAAGCAAAAGATATATATAAAAGTTTAAATCGATATAAGTACAATCAATGTTAGACCATTCATGAATATAATTTGCAAATCGCAACTACGTCGCAATTTACATCAGCATTTTGTACTGCGTTTGTGTTTGAGTACAGGAAAAAAAAGAAAAGAAGATTCCTACCTGGATAAAAGGCTCCATTGTTCCTGGTACAAAGAACGACGCCTCTTTCAATTGAAATTTCCTCAATAAATCAACACTCTCAAGCGTTCACGTACGAAGGGCACTCCTTGATATGAAACCAACTGACCGAGAAACGGTTCTTACACTGTAACGTAAGGAAAGTATCCTGAATTGCGACCGTTGAATTTAAACGCGAGCGCCATACTAGTTAACGGAGAGAGGAGAGGAGCGAGCGGATGACAGTTCTCGTTACTTTCCCACCCCTCAATTCTTTGCAGCGATATCTCGCGTATGAAACATACATCGAAAAATGCGCGCCAAATGGCCTTTCACTCCAGAAAACACAACGTACCCCTCTCGTTCGTTCAACTTACGCGCTTAAGCTTGTTTATTTAGTTGACGCTTACATACTCTTCACAGTTTTGGAAGTAAATGTATACTCACGTTTCAAAGAGACAAAGAAGGTAGAATCAGATGAAAAACGAGTAGACTTGATATCGCGCGATTGATAAATTCATACGACATACGATCTGAATATGAACCGTCTATACTAGAAAAAAAAGTATCAAACCTGTACACATTCTGAAACGAAATTCAATCGTCACCGAATAGATCTCAACCGTACACTTTTATACCGAGAATGTAACGACAAGAGACGCTACGGATATATCCATAGACATTGGAATATATAGACTAACTGCGTTCTTTATTAGACACATGATTGGTCCATTTTCTTATGCTTTATATATGCTTATGCACTTGTGCAAGTTTGTCTGAATATACCCTAAGGATGCGACGCGGTGACGTACAAAAACAAATTTTTCCTGTTCTATTTTTAAATAAAATAACACTGGTCACGCGATTTTTGTCACAAGAAAACTAATTACTGTCTTTGATGTATATTTTAACGCTAAATTCAAATATGATTTAGAATAAAAAGCGCTATTAGATTCATTTAAGTTTTTGTGACAAAAAACGTTAATTTTTATTGACCTAATGTAATTAAAAGACTCGTTCTATATCTACTGCTATCTATAATATATAACTTTTAGTCAACAAAAAATTTATGTCAACTTCTTTATTAAAATCTTATTATTTATATAAATTATTTTATTTTTCTTTCCAGAGGAGATTGCGGATTACAGATTCCACTTGGAATGCTTATCTCGTATTTTAGGATAGTGTTTCGTCATACATGAGATGATTCATCCCCGTTGTCAGCTGCCATGGCTTCACGATTCTCGTATGCCCAAAAGCCATGGAATTCAATCAAGATACTGATCATTGTATCACCTTGTCCACACGACAGTAAATCCTGCAGCGTAATTTTACACGGATCTGCTGGTTTTACCATGTCAAATATTTCGTCTTTGACGTCTTCAAAGCTAACTGGTTCTTGACCATGCATTGTCATTTGCTCTTGTATAGCCTGCAAAACGATAATGTTTGATTGGGTACTATCCAAAATTGTTAGAATATTTATATTGTAGCAAAAATGCAATGTATACCCTAAAGAAATAATTTAGACAAAATGTGTCCAAATAGCCGCGATTGTTAATGTCTAAAATTCGAAATAGATAATGAAGGCTCTGAGGTTCATGCCGATTCTCTAAGGCTAACACAAAATCGAGGTACGTCTTGTAGTCCATCTCGCCTTCGTAAGTTAAGCATTCTTGAAACACTCTTTCAAGAAAAACGCCTGTTAAAGTACCAGTGCCATATCTATTAACAAAATTATATTTTTAATTTTAATTCAGCGTAAGATTATAAATGATAAATTTTTCAATTTATTACCCAGCAAGCTCTTCCTTATTCAACATTCCATTATGATCTCTGTCAAGATTGAGATATTGTCCATAAACTTTAAGCGCCGAAGGTGCAGAAAACCAATTAGCTTCCTGTATATCCTTAGGCAGATCCTCGTCTCTTAACTCTAAGAGATCGTCTAAAAAACTGCATGCTAAAATATCTTGAATACGAACTCGTCCAGTTCGAAGAGGATCCAGAAAGAATAAAAATTTTCTGACAGCTGTACATACATAAAATGAATGGAAAGACTTTTCAAGACCCTCCAGTTGTGGCAATGTTGGTATTAATTCTAAGATATAGTTTTCCAGATCCTATAAAGAAATATAGCTCTCATATAAAAATGCAGTATAGGTATGTCTGGAAAAGAACTCCAGAGTTCAAGTTGCTAATATATAATATAATACTGTATTCTTAGATTTATATTTCTAGAAACTTACTGATTCTCTGAGATATCCTTGTCCTGTAACATCATATAAAGAAAGACCAATTCTTGTTTGATGCAACCATACTTTTCTCATGACATAATTAAACAGCGCTAAGATACTAATTCTACCATGTGGATCTCCTTGTTGCAGTTTGGCAAAAACAACAGCAGTAAAGTATGGACTGCATTTTGCTCCTGCCAGTTTGCCCACTTTTTTAAAGTCCTCATAATTAATTAATTGCTCTTCTCCCGACAAAGGTGGGCTGTGATGTTTGTCTAACAGCACCCATAATGCTTTCAGTTCATTATTATCGAGCAATTGCCGAGAACGTCTTTGTAAGAATAAGGCTCGTGTTTCTTCACGCAATTTCTGTGGTAGAATTTCATCTTCTTTCGGCAGCTATAAGTATAGCATTGTGTTATAACATATGAGAAAAGATACAAATACATTTCGTCAAAGTTTTGATATGCAAGACACAAGCAGTACCTTGAAATAAAACTTTGGTATAACTTTATACGTAGAATCAACATTGTCTTTCGCTTTCACACCCTTCCATTGCTGATACATTTTCTGAAAATATTCATCTTCTTTTTTTTCATTATCTTCAGAGTTTTCATGGGCTGCAACATCAAAAAATAAACACATTATTTTACCTGGTGAAAGGAATAATTGTAAAATGGTGTTTTTATAGAAAAGTGTCTATATACATACGTTTCTTTGCCAAAGCGCAGTTTCGCAGTAACGTTTTCAACTCCATATCCTACAAACATCTAATACACAGAACTTAATCTTACTCTAGTGCATATGCGCTTGATCAACTTCAGTCACTTTGGTTATGTTTAACCAAGATTAGTCGGAAATCGCGACGCAATCAATTATAAGTATTAAATATAGTGTCCGATAAACGCATAACTGTCTTTTTATCGTTTCTGCAATCAAAACAAGCCGGACATGATCGGGAAATTAGATTTGCATCGCGCGCGCGCGTACCTTAATTTCACGTACGAGATAAACCGCGATATAGGTTAAGTGACACTGCACGAAACACGATGTTTGCGGGGCATAACAAAATTATTTTGATTACGTGGCTGGTGCGAAGCACATGAGTTTCACATCGAGAAGTTTATTGTATCCCGTGAAAAAAAGCGGCGATGCACGGTGATAACGGATAAAAAAAAAATCACAGTGACAGTTAAGCCACGATGATTCTATTTAGAGTGGGGTCGATTCTAGGCCTTTTAATTTTGGTCAGCGGATTCCGGGAGTACAAGAGAAAGGATCTGATCGCTCTTCGCGAGGAGGTTCGCTCCATGTTCGATTACGCTTATTCTGGTTACCTGACGCACGCTTATCCATACGACGAACTGCGTTCACTGAGTTGCGACGGCTTTGATACCTGGGGCAGTTTCTCCCTGACGTTGATCGACGCCTTGGACACGCTTGCGGTCATGGGCAACTTCTCCGAGTTCCGTCGTGTTGCCGAGATAATCAGCGCACGTGTAAACTTTGAGGCCAATATCAATGTATCCGTATTCGAAACGAATATCCGGGTAGTCGGTGGACTGCTGAGCGCTCATCTGTTATCGCGCAAGGCTGGTGTTAAGTTGGAACCTGGTTGGCCCTGTAACGGTCCGCTGCTGCGTCTTGCCGAGGACATGGCCAAGAGATTGATTGCAGCGTTCGACACACCTACAGGAATGCCGTATGGTACAGTTAATCTGAAGTATGGAGTACCTGAAGGCGAGACCAGCATCACTTGCACCGCTGGCATCGGCACTTTCCTGCTAGAATTCGGTACTCTCTCTAGGTTAACAGGAGACCCGCTGTACGAGGAAGTAGCCATGAATGCGATAAAGGCATTGCATTATTACAAATCAAACATTGGTTTAGTTGGCAATCACATAGATGTTCTCACCGGCCATTGGACAGCCCAGGATTCTGGTATAGGCGCTGGAGTGGATTCCTACTTCGAGTATCTGGCAAAGGGCACGTTACTGTTTCAAGATCCGTTACTGGCTTCGATATTCCGAGAGCACAGAAGAGCCATAGAGAAGTATATTCGTCGAGAAGATTGGCATCTGTGGGTGTCGATGACCAAGGGTCAGGTGACTCTACCGGTATTTCAGTCATTAGACGCATACTGGCCTGGAGTATTAAGTTTGTTCGGCGAGATCGGAGACGCGATGAAATCTTTACACAATTATCATCGTGTATGGAAACAATTCGGATTCACTCCGGAATTCTACAACATACCGCAGGCTGAGGCAGGGACCAACAGGGAGGGTTATCCGCTAAGACCTGAGCTCATAGAATCTGTTATGTATCTTTACAGAGCTACCAAAGATCCATACTTGATTCAGGTAGGAGTGGACATCCTGAGGAGCTTGCAGCACAGCGCCAGAACTGCATGTGGCTATGCAACCATCAATGATGTTCGGGATCATCGCAAAGCGGACAGAATGGAATCTTTCTTTCTCGCGGAAACCACCAAGTACCTGTACCTGCTTTTCGACACGGACAACTTTATCCATAACACCGGTACCGAGGGAGAGATAATCGACACTCAATGGGGCCAGTGCGTGGTGGATGCTGGTGGGTACATCTTCAATACGGAGGCTCACCCAATCGATCCAGGAGCTTTGTATTGTTGTCGGCCAGCGCAAGATATCTTTCCATACAAAAGGCCGGTGCTGAAAAGATTTCTACCAACGCCAAGCAGGCTAGAAGATAACTCATCGACGAACGATCTTCGTTATGAAAAGGATGTTATTAAAGATCCAGACGTGCTGTCGATCGCGATTGCAAAGCTATCTGAAATTAGACAGTACTCTATGAGCAAGAAAGAAAACGTAATCAACGAGAGTTTCTCGTCGTCGAACGCTTCGTCGATAGACCCTGTTGTGGAGAAAAATGTGGAAGTCCAGGAAACAGAGAAGTCGAATCAGAGCGCGATTTCTAGTGTTCGGCTGCCGACAACGCAGGTTTTAGCACCCTCAACGATTTACAAAGCCGACGATAGCGAAGGTTCCGAGAATTTCGAGCCACAAATATTATCAAATGAACAGTACTCTACTTCTGGTGCCACAACGCAGAGCAATACTCGACAAAATACGACACCAAGTCCCCCAAGGACCAGATTCGAGCCCCAAATAATGCTGGAAAAAATCAGACGCAGTAATCTCTATCCGACCAATATCACAGCGAGACAGAACTATCAGATCTTATCCTGTCAAGCTCAACCATTCCTACAACGAATATCGATCATAGGAGAATTTTTTTAAGTAATGCATAAAGAAAAGACGAGATAAAAGATTTACAAATCTTGCAATTCACAAGTCTTGAGCACGAAAATGGATTTTACGCAATCCCATTTCGTGTATGTTGTACTTTAAGACATATTATTCCTGTGATAATGATTGTTGTATAGTTTCTAATAAATCTATGATGTACGGATAAAAATCTATTTTTCACTGGCAATTTAGTCTTGCCATATTACTGAAAAGCTGGATCAAAGGCAGGTATGCGTAATTATATCTATTTATACATACATAAAAAATACATAGTCAATATAAAACTTTATTTAAATTAATACAAATATCTTCATGGTACAAAAAAATGTTTAGTGTAACTAAAAGAAATTATTAGGCAACATCTGTTAAAAAAAAATATCACTTGCCGCGTGTAATAAAAATTAAATAAATCAACTTCTCCATAAATCAGTTGCATAATAATGTGTAAATTCGCAATTTTATGCATAGATAACTTAATTCATTATAAAAAAAAATTAATTTCATATAATCATAATAATATTTCCTTTCATTATGTAATATTGTATTGAAACAAGAGACAAATATTAAAATATATATATTCTATATAAATTTGACCAATAAATCAAGAAACTTATCATAATTAAACAATATGAAGAATAATAATGTTGAATTGTTAGTATTTCAAAAGGATTGAAATGTACTTTCTAATACGTTATTCAAGATAAATAGCTTTTTTTTAGATTTTCAGTTTTCTTTAACTTTTTAAATCTCGAAACGGTCCCCAAGTTCTAATTAAGCTCAGAGTTTTATTCAACTTCGATATCCATTGTAATCCTTCTTCCTTTGTGTCGGCTAATAAAAAGTACCTACAAGCGTAGCATATGAAGAGAAATGTTTCTTTCATGAAAGGAAGACTAGAAAATAACGATACATACTCTATCGTGGTTTCAATTCTATTCGTTTTCATAATGAGACTATCAGTATCTCCAGGTTGTGCGGGTCTCGATGTCTCAAGTAGAAATGTGTAAGGACGAGCACACTTTTCTCGATTTACAAATTGTACATTCTTTGTAAATACATCTGCAAACGTGATACCGTGAGTACAACATCAGAGATTAAATCCGAAATAATCGAAGAATTACGATAAACAAGAATCAAAGTAAAATTACCTTCCAAGTCGACGTATCCTATCGGATTTTTCTCGTGTTCGTCATCAGGATTTAACCAATAGTAAAGTCTGGCGTTGTTAAGCCGATACCATCTTCGACGCCAATTACCCAAATTTGCAATATCCTCGAAGAGCGTCAAAAATCCGTGATGTTCTACAGATTCTGAAGGCTTCGATAATATATGCATGTTTAAGTATCCTTCTAAAGGCGAGTGTGATGAGATCTAGGCGAAAAATATATATCATATTACACATATTATAAGAAATGAAATTGCATATATTGGCTTTACAAATTTTTATCGCAATCAAGTACGCGTACCCCGAGCAAAGTAAATTGCTTGCAATTTACATCGTTTAGCTTAATGGTAGTAATGCCCATTAATTGAAAAACAGATGATCTGATCATATTTTGTCCCGTAAGATTCTCCGGCATTATGAATTGATTTCTCTTTTTCAATGACTTATTTTTTGCCTGTAAATAAATTCGATATTAAAATAAAATGCGATCGACGTTGCCGTATATTTCTCCAGCATTAGTCTACAATTAGTTTTCAAAAAAATAAAAATGTCTTTTACTTTTAAATTACGATTGATATGATATTTCTTGTCGTATGATAAACACTTTGTTCTAGTCTGGAAATAATACACTTTAACGTCAATCCTAAAATTGTAGTATACGTTATCGAGTTTTAGCACTGACGTAAATCGAAGACATGAGTCGCCGGGTTCAACAATGGCTGCTTGAGTAGCAACTACTTCTCCTAAGTGAGACATCAAACAAACGCAATTAAGACACGTGTCTGAAAGAATTTGCATAATTATTATAATACACATTTTAATTTACGTGAAAGAAAACTTGATGTTACATCGCACTTACTAGTGTCCATTTTTTGAAAATATTCTTGATTGAGTGGTAATGTAATAGCAGAAATCGTCAAAGATCCACACCCCTGCATTTCTAATAAATCTGTCCTCAATGTATCTTTTTGCTTTAGTCTTTGCACTTCATTCAATGCAGCTTGGCGTTTATGAGCTAAGTATAAGAAAGAACATTTTTCACAGTTTGTAACAATATTTAAAAATCTTATATTAAGTATTCAATTTAATTTAATTATAACATCTATGTAAGAATACTTATATTATGTAAGTAAAAATTTACTAGCAACAAGCAAAGCCCATTCTCCTGCTACTTGCTCAGTGGAGTCATTAAACTCGTCAGTAGATTGAATAAAGTTCAATGCTTTACTGGCTCCTTCAATTTTTTTCTCTTGTATATAAATCTCATCTAACAACTTCTTTATTTTTTCTTCCAATAAATCTCTCTCTGATTCATCTTGATTTGATTCTGTTAGACTTCCAGAATTTGTATTTATTTTTAATGAACTTTTTTCTTTCTCATCATAATCATACAATTCCTTTGCATTAAGACATTCATCCAAACATTGATCTATTTCATTTAACACTAAATATTCTTGTGTAGTACTATTGGATTCTGCAGAGTCTTTTAGCTGCAATATTTAAAGAAAAAAACAAATGTTTAGCAATCTATAATAATATAGCTAATTAACTCATAAGTAATTATCCATATAAACATATATAAGTATATACTTTGTCGCTTAACAAAAGTTCATCAAACACATGCATAATACTACTCCCAAAAGAAGTATTTCCTATACTTTCAGAGTCATTTTCTCGATCAGTTTCATTATTCTGCAAAAAGAATGAAAATTGTATATTACATGTTATTTTTTTCATACATACATTTAATCATTATAATTATTTATTTTACTTGAATATAATGGTTGTCTTTCACTTCAGTTTTAATTTTTTTATCAAGAGTCGTCGTTGTAGATTCCTTGTCAGCATTGTCAATATATTTTGTACTACATGTATTGTTTTCTGCAACTTCAATTTCAGACAAATGTGTGTTAGATTTATTTTTTTCTTGTGATTTCTCAAATAATGTTGACTTTGTAAATCTAGTTTTGGGTTTTATTAATACTGTTTCTTCTTTATTATGTTCAAAAACTGCCCTTCTTTCAATGAATGATGTTCGAGTGGAAACTTTTGTTTTTGTATCCATATTTTTTGTTTCAAATAGTAATATTTTATTGGACACCAAACCTGATAACTGAATCAAAGTCTGTGGCAAATTTTTTAATTCAGTTCTTGAGGATAACTGAGAATTGCTTGTAAAATTTGTACTTTTCTTAACTTTTTCTAAGGTATTAGAAACTTTATCATCATTGCTTTTAGAAAAGCTATCAGGATTTCTGAACAGATCAACATCTGCTTCCATTTTCTTACTTTTCAGTGAATCATCAGATTTGTCAACTGAGATTCGTTTTTTTCCTTCAGTTTGTTTTAGAACATTTGTATTTTTTAAAAGATTCCATCTTTCTCTAATGTTATGTCCTGCATGAAACTGTTCCTTCAATATTCTCTTTGTTTTAGCACGTTCTAACATACGCTGTTTGTAGAAACCAATATATGAATATAATATTAAAAAGTACGAATAATAATATAATAAAATAACTAATATATCTACAAAAGCATATTTTGCACACATTATCATTTAAGCAAATAAATACAAAAAAACAAAAGCTGTCTTGCGTTTTTCTAAAAGAATCATACATGTCATACGTTTTTTATAAAAGACAAAAATTTTTACCTCAATAAACGGTTCCATTTTTCAATTGTGCGACGAAAAATATTTTTTATTAAAATTCTTTTTTGCGCGTGTTTACAATTCACGAGTATTAGGCCAGCTTTACACTGAAGCAACATAGCCGCATGCGGTCGTTGTTTACATCGTATCTTTCTTTAAATAATTAGCATCTTTCTCTGTCGCACTGGAACGCCGCATGCGGCTTGATCACCTATGGTCGCCTCATTGTAAAGGCTATCACACGTGAAAGAGTTTAGTCGTTAACCGTAAAGCGTAAGCAAATCGACCAATCACAGTGAGCAGTAATGCGAGTGACTTATTACGTCTATGCGATGATGCGCGTATGAACTTCAATGTCATGTAGGAATATCCGCTAGAAGGTGTTTGTGAAATTCGCGATTATCCGACCGTCACAGCGGGAGAGAAGCTTCGTTGAAGTGAATCATTCGATAGCGTGCTTATAACCTCCCGGCTTTGTTAAATTGTGTAGATGTGATAGAGAAATCAAATATCAAACAAAGAACATTAAAATTGCATTATGCTTGAGAATTCGTGGGTGACCGTTAAACAAGCGGCCGATGAAAACAGACACGAACTAGTATTGACAGGCGCGTCTGTGTCGAGATTGATCGAGAAATCAGGCCTGGATGAGAATTTGTTTAATCTATATAATTTGAATTATTTGAGTATAACACAGACATGTCTGCGAGAAATACCGGACGAGATCGAAAAATTGACAAATCTCACGGTTTTAGTATTGCATTCGAACGAGATCAACCTGTTATCGAATGCAATCGGCAAATTATCTAAATTGAAGATACTCGATTGTTCAAGGAATAAATTGACTTCTGTTCCGCAGTCATTAGACACGCTTCCTCAATTAAACGCGATGAACTTTTCCTCGAATCTTTTGCAATCTATACCATCGCAAAATGCAAATACTAAATTGAGTGTCTTGAATTTGTCAAACAATTGTTTTGAAACCTTTCCTGATGTCTGTTACGCAGAACTTGTACATTTGTCAGAGATCTTTGTTAATGGAAATCAAATAACAACAATTCCATCTTCTATAAGCCAGCTTCAAGCATTGAAAATCTTAAATGTCGCAGATAATTTAATTTCTGGTAATACTATGCACATATTTTAATATTTACACTTAACATCTTTTGTGTTATATTAACTTGAATATTATAATGCAGTTGTACCAGGTGAATTAGCAGATTGCAGTAAATTGAAAGAAGTGAATCTGAAAGGAAATAAATTAGCAGATAAGAGATTATTAAAATTAGTTAATCAATGTCGCACAAAGCAAATACTAGATTATATAAAATTGCACTGTCCAAAGAGTGAATTGTCTACCACAGAGGCTAATAAATCAAGAAAAGGAAAAAAGAATCAGAAATGTTCTGAAAGTGAAAATACAGTCGACACCTTAGCACATAAGTTGAAAGTTTTGAGAATGGTAGATGGTACACCAGTAATAAAAGTTACAAAGGAAGTACAAAAAATCAGACCTTACATAGCTGCTTGTATTGTGAAGAATTTAAGCTTTACAGAGGACAGTTTCAAAAAGTTTATTCAGCTACAGACAAAATTACATGATGGAGTATGTGAGAAAAGAAATGCAGCTACAATAGCGACACATGATTTGAAACTAATAGTACCTGGTAAATATTGAATATGTAATAATAATGTTTTATATATTTCTATGTTACAAACATTTTATTATTGCAGGTGACTTGACGTATACAGCAAAGCCACCCACAGAAGTGGAAATTAAACCTTTAATGCGTGAGAAGACTTATACAGGTGCAGTTTTGTTTCAACAATTGCAAACAGAAGCTGAGAATCTACGTAAAGAAAAGAAACGAAATGTATATTCTGGGATACACAAATATTTATATCTGCTGGAAGGTAAATCCGTATTTCCATGTCTATTGGATTATTGTGAACAGGTTATATCACTTCCACCAATAACAAACAGTGATATAACAAAAATGTCTCCATCTACTGAAACAATGTTTGTGGAAGTAACAAGTGCAATATCATATACAGTTTGCAGGTAAAATTAAACATGTACTAATAATCTATATAAAATTTGTTTATATATATATTTTTTTTTTTTTTAATTGTAAAAGAAAAATAATCTGTAATAATATATTATATTTTGATATTTCTAGGAATGTATTGGATGAATTTTTGAAAGAATTAATAATGTCAGGTTTGACTGATTCATCGCAGCTGAAAGATGGTGACAAGTTGTGCAACAACTTACTTGTTGAACAAGTAAAAATAGTTGATTTTGAAGGAAATCTAAAATTAATATATCCTTCAAGAGCAGATTTGAACTCTTTAGTTGAACATTCTATTTCTATATTACGAGACTAACGAGTAACGTAAGCCAAATCTTGCGTTTCATTAATTCTTATAACTTTGTGCCTTTATAAATTATTTTAATACTGATATTTTTGTTATAGTACGAATATTGTTGTAAGTATCGATATATGCCATTCACACTATAAGTTTAAATTATTTATGAAAATTTTGAAACAATATTTTCATTAAAAAAGTAACTAAAATTTTCTGTTTGAAGAATTTTGTTGAGATTAAATAAACAAGAAAGTTTTGTTTGCGAAAAAAGAAAAAGGATTTATGAAAAGACATGCATTTATTTTTAATCACTTATATGTTCTAATATTCTATATAAAAATTTTATCAGTTTTAAGTAATAAATTTCAAGTTTATTTTGATGTTTTTAATATGCTAATTGCCAAACAGTAGCTTTACGACAGAAATCGAGAGTGGTCACAAAAGTGAGTATTTCTATTACTTTTATTATTTTTTTTTTATTAGATATTTTTGGTTTGTCTTATCGCATTGATTGAAGACGTTCGACTACAGGATATGGTTATCCACAGGTTCCAATATAAAAAGACCGCCATTAGTCGATACAGCTAATTGGTTGCGACTGTGGCGCTATTGTTTGCTTAAAATTGCCGTCTCGCTGCGTGCCGGTGCTGATTTCTCATCTGTTTTTATAAATATTGTACTTTACTACGCGTACCGTAACCGCCTTTCAAACAGCTGACGTTCGTCGATCGACACCTTCCACCGTGTTTCCGTGGACCGTGCGCCAAGAAACGCGTCCCGCAAAGTGTTCTAAGGCTAAGAAGAAAGTTCCGACGAATTTTCCACGAACTTTTCCAACATGCGCGAGTGTTTGAAGTGATAACATGGCGCCGAAACCATGACTGGTCATGATGGGGGAGTGAGATCTTTGAGGTTAGTCCATTATTTGTCTTGTCATTAGAGTTATCAAAAGTTAGCCGAAGTCGAATTTACCTTCAGTCACAGCCATTTTGTGCGTACGTGATATGTACTCACGCTTCTAAATAACATCGTATTTATTATGCGTATATTACGAATTTACTTGTCACGTTTTATAATTAATACGTTGATTTTGTACAAATGCTTCAATTACGGAGTCGTCATGCACGTCATTTTTTATGGCGACGTTTAGGTCATTGCCAAACTCTTCATATGTAATAGATGCAATATTATGAAATACTTTGACTCCTTACCCATGTTATATTTGCTTAATGTGTCTTTATTTATGTGTATTTTTTTTCTATATTTGATACTGAATACTTTTTGTTAATTTTTGCTATAGTTCAATTAATAATAATATGAGTTTATATTTATATTTTGCAAAATTAATACTAATCTATTACCAATATATAATATGATTTAATATATTACATTAGATAGTATTTGCTATGTTGCAAATAATTTAACTTAGAGCTTTAAGCAATTATAACAATTTTTATCAATATATTGATATTGATATATATATAAAATTCTATACATATATATATAATAAATTTAAACAAATTTTTTAAAATTATATTTTATTCAACACATTCATGACAGTAATACCTTCAGTATTATTAGATATATTAATTACATGAAGAATATATTAGATCTAAACTATATGTCACATTGATATTAAACACAGAAGAATATATCAGTAATATATATATTTAATTCTATAACAAAAGTAAAAATATCTAAGATCCTGAAAATATAATAGTAATAACTCATTGGTCCAGTGTAATAAATGCTAAGAGAGAGATAGTACATTAGATACTAAAGATAGAGTATATAATAAACTATTCTAATAATTTTAGTTATTGATATTTTAAAAATAAAAAATATACATTTCTTTTGCAAAAGTATACATTTATACATATTTTGCTTTCCCCTTCATCTTAATAAAGAATTTGGCCATTATTTTCTGACATCTTCAATAAATAGTATTTTTTGTACATTAGATATTGACTAAGTCACAAATGGAAACATTTTGACCATGCATCTATGGATGTTTTTCAGTTATTTTTAAAAATATTTATATGTTTACATTTATATGTTTAAATATGTAAACATGCATGTGCCAGTTTGCAGAATAGGAAGATCTATAAATCACATTCAACTTGACTAGTATGTAACATGTGTATATTAAGAAATTCAATTTGCTTTAAGCCGCTCTTGACGTTCTTTTACATCAATAATACTGAGATTGATGCATGACACATATCCATGTAGTACAGAAATGGCGGCTTTAACAAGTGCTACTGGAGCACTCAGGTACACAATTAATCTGTACAGACCTATACCAGCCACTGAAAAATAAAATGTTGTGCAATATATTTTCACATTTCCATAGTAAAAAAAATTTTTGAAAAAAGTACTTACAAATGGGTCCTTCGGTAAAATGCAACAGATATAAACCGGCATAAAATGCTTCGTTACCAGCACACATGAGGAATAGTACTATGCGGTTTGTGTAATACAGTCTCATGATTGGATTTTCAGACATGTCGATAAATTTGTGACTGGTCTTTCCTTGCAAAAGGGTCCTGTTGTATTTTGACAAATTGTAATTATCACTTTTAATTTCTCTCGCTAGATTGCGTTATGTATTATTCCTTACGTGTGTAAATATATCCAATGACAAGCTATATCGATAGCTATGCTCAGTTGAAACCAGAAAGTATAAGCAGGATAGAATAAGCATAATGTGACCATAAGACACATTGTGCCAACCCTATCTGTTAGCTGATCCAAGATTGCACCGAATTTGGTGCTTTGGTTGTAATACCTTGCTGCATGGCCATCTATTGCATCCAGCAATGAGCTGACCACATAACACCATGATGCAATAACATAATTAGTAGGCATGAAGTAAAAGGAAATCAATGCCAAAATTACTCTGCCAAAACCTATTGATACAAAAATGCGAAATTATTTTGTAAATTTCTTACTATTCTCCTTATTTATCTATTTTTTATGAATATGATGATCAATTGTAAAATATTGACATCCACAAATTAACAAAAATACCACGACTTTAAAACAATTATAAGGAGAAATTTTATTTTATTGGTTAATCAATATCAGATTACATAAAGCAATATTGCATTAATTCAATCAATAGAAGCAACCTTAAAAGTGTTTTATTACGGTTCATACGTTTATTATTGATTGATTAAATTATATAGAATGATTTGGTAAGAAAAGTCCGATTTTTTTATCCATCTCGTTAAATCGAATCTTGGCGGGTATATATCAGATATACTACTATATACGAATATGAAATAGTTGGGTTTGTTACAACGCATTTCAATGCGTAATTATTCCAAAAAAATAGCATAAGACACAAGATCAAGTATTTACCGATTATATTGGGCACGAACAAGAAAATATTCTCCGATTCCGTCATTTTGGCGTAGATTCTGTGTCCAACGCAGATCTTCGCCGCGAAAGTGCTTATCTATCAGATAATGTAGAAGTATTATCTAGACACGGCGCGACCGAGTCAAGGATTATCTCACTGCGCTTCGCGACTCGCACGTATCACGGGCTATTCGCAGTCGCTTGACTAATCGAGAATGCACACACAGTTCTCCGTTACGCACGTCCAGCAATGACGGGTGCCTTTCGGCAAAAAATATAGTCAACATAAGGCGGTTTTCATAGTCTGATATTCAAAATTCTTAGATGCAGTTTAAATTTATAATCGCAAATTAAGGTAAAGATTTGTTTCTTCGGCAATTAAATGAAACCTATATATTATTTTAAAATTGTACTAAAAATGATTTTGAATATAATATCGAGCTATGAAAACCGTCCGAAAGTTGATTTACGTTTCTTGCCGGAAAGCGCCCAATAGAAATAAAATTAGCAACGTCGATATTGCAAACTCGCACTACTTCGAGATTTATCGACCTTCATGGCGCGTGCCTGCTTACGCTATTCTGTACAGTACGGAATTTAAAAGAGAAAGAAAGCTTTGAAAACAGTGTTTTTTCTCTCACACATGAGAGTAAAAATAATAGGGAAAAATAGTAGGGCGTAATTAATAACAATGCACTTCGGCGTAAGGTAGGGAATGTGCAATCTATATTTATTTTATCTATGGTTGAAGACTATCGTAACACAATTCGCTTGCGCCTTGCACATTTCCTGTCAAGCATTTCGGAGTTAGATTTCTCTCAGTTATACTTTGTCGCATTTTCAGCACTTAAAGCTAAGAAGATGCATGTAGATACATGATGCAAAGTTGGAAATTTGATATATCGGTGCCTGTTTTTTGACCGGAATGGACAGAAGTGCCGTTGGGGGCACTCTGTCAAACGGACACACACCTGCTCGACAGACGACATTTTCGGAGGCCAAGCGGCTGGTCCGCCGCGCCGTTCCTCTGCGCAAAAGCAAGGATTTCGCTTCTTATTGTGTCGCGACGGGAAAGTGTCCGCGTATAGCGGCGTCCGCCTCGGCTTTTCCCAGAGATATTCGTCTGCGCGCGAGCGGACGGCATCGCTTGGTGAAGGATCGCGGTCCTTCGAACGGGCCTGTCGCGGACTTGTTCGCGTCCGCACACGTACTTATCTCGTCTTGTGACTGGTGTAATTGGAGTTTCGGGTGGGTTTGCGTAGCTGTCGCGCGTTCGCCCACTGTGCAGCAAATTTACGACGTGTCGTTGTTGTCCCACGACAGTTGAAGTCATTCCGTTTTCGCGTGACAGAATTGCGCGAATTTCATAGAGTTCGTTTAAAATTGACGTAAGAAACCAACCGCCCAAGGAAAAGGCGATGTTACGCGATCGATAATCCGGCGCCCGATCCTGGAACGCTTGTACGATACGCCAATTGACGAACACACGTCCGCGCTCTGCGAAGTTGACTTTGCTCTCACGTCTCGAGCAAATACTATGGCACCTACTATGCCGACGGCATCTGTTCCGTGAGACATCCGGTCGTGCCGTGCTCGCATATTGCGGCGCCGGCGACGACGATGAGTTCGTTTGTCAAGCTTCCCCGTGCGCGCGACCAAAGGAAGCAAGTGACGTGAGATACGTGCGTGTATACGTGCGCGAGTGCGTGTATGTGTTTATGTGCGGGTGAGAGCGAGTCGCGCGGTGTGCAGCATCTTGTCCGCGGGATCTTTGCGGATGGACTTTTCTTCGAACCATTCTGACACATTTGGACGGGCATTCGGACGTGTACATTCGATTGTTCCTGCGCAGCGGCTACGGCCATTTTGAATCGATGATTGCTAGCCGCGGTGGCGCGGTGGCGATTGTCAACATCACCGCGCTGTAACACCAAAATCGGACGGTTTTACGTGTCACCGTATCTCGATCGTCAAGATTCTCGCTACGAAGCCTCCCCCGGAGAGCATTCGTGCTTGCGTATGTGCACACGTACGCACATACGCATGCACGCATACGCAATGCGTTATAGAACTTGGAAATGATGCTGCTAAGTCGAGCCTCTACTTTGCAGAGAAAATATCGATAAATGCAACAGTGACATTTGAGGAGCTCCTCCCTCTCCGCTGATTTCGAGGAAATAGGAAATCCATATTCCCAAAAGTTGGATTTGCGACGTGCGACAAGTAGAGAGAGAGAGAGAGAGAGAGAAGGAAAGACACGGTTGGGTTCATCCGCCAGCGACACGTCAATCGTTCGAATTTGACATGTGACCGTCAACAGTCGCGTTTACGTAAGTTGTGTCTCCTGAGTGAACATTCGCTCGATCATATTCGCATTCGCGAAGGAACATTCACTTTCAGTGCTCTTAGAATTTCTTCCGCATATTTTACGCACGTAAAATAATTTTCAGTTGACAGCCCGCTCAGGCTAACCTCAAAGTTGCGAGAGATCAGTGTCCTTGAGTATATAGTCGAGTATTCGTCAACTGTAATTGATCATCCAGTCTCATAGACAACACCTAGGAAGGCGGCAGAATCTCAAATTGCGAATAACGTGACTCTGCAAGAAACTTCTTGACTAACTATCAACGCCGAGGAACGTAGTCATTTTCGTTGCTCTGGTCGCGCGCGTCAAGCCGTATAAGCATTTTTTCATGAAGATTCCGCATCGGGTTGCATCGAGACAGTGTACATGAAACTCTAAGAATAATTCTGGCATTAATTAAACCAAGGTACTTTCCTAGATTAACAATTCCTGGACTAGCAATTCGCAGTCCTATTTTAAATTAGCAACTCCTACATTAGTGACTTATCGGCTCTTTCTATATTAACACCTAGATTAGCAACTGGCCGCCCGTTTCTTTAGGTTATAATTGTACTTATAAACGAAAGACAGAAAGAAAAGACCGAATTAATCGGGCTTGACGTCGGTACAACTGGTTCGGTACAACCATCGTAGTCTAAGCATGTCGCATTTGTTTGATTGAAAATTGCCAGTGCAACGCGGCATCTTCAATGCGGCACGGATCGTCGAATTTAAGAGCAATCCTTTCGAGGTTCAATAGCCCTTGAGGGGTAGAGAACAAGAAGGAGAGACAAAAAGGGATGGTGAGAAGAGAGCCATGAGCACGGCGGATACCGCGCTGTCAATTTCGATCAAAATGGCCCCAGGGCCGGAACATCGCCAGGAACCGGTAGCTCCTGACAAAATTGCCGAGAGCGATCAAACTGCTACCGCCGCCGCCACCACCGCCACCGCCGCCACCGCTGACATCGTTGTCAATGCGGAGAATATTGATGTTACAACGACCGATAGCAGCAATAATAGCAACAACGATTCCGTCGTTGCTTCTGCCGCCGCCGCCGCCGTCATCGTTACGGAACAAAGTTCGAACATCGAGATCGCTCCAGCTAATTTTGCCACTAGCATCGATTCGATCAACCAAAGCTCGCCGCCGAGCAACGGCACCGACAGCAAACAGGTGAGCATCGCGGCGGTCGCATCGAAGAATCGAATCCAAATACCAAGTCTCGGCAGGAATATTGTTTTTTTACACTAAAATTGTCACGTATATTTTACAAAATAGGAACAGGCTCGCAAAATGCTCTGCGACATTTTAAGATTACGGTCAATCATCTAGAATATCCTATTGCATCTCATTATCTAATTCCAAGGTATAAACTGTTGAGGACATGGTGTATAAAATTGTGACAATTCAGATACTTGATCAACAATTCAGAAATTCAACTTCTTGATCAAATTTCGAAAACATTTTTTATTTTTACATTGTCAGATGCTTGTCAGATGCTGTATATAAGGACTGTGATGCTATATATAAGCACTGATGATAAGTGCTAAAAATTAATAAGTAATTAGATAGAAGATTAGAAAATGGTTGAAATTAATAACTTAGCAATCAATAAAAAGGCAACTTAAGTATTGTTTAGGTATTAGTAGAATGTTAATGGGCATAAAAAATAGGCATTAGTACATAATTTTCATTAGCGTGAAAAACTCATTGCATAAGAGTAACATTCATAACAAAGTGCAATGACGTGGACGACACTCGACAATAATTTTTTTTATTTTCGTTCTTGTTTTTCTTGCTTTTAGATATTGAACACAATCTATATGTTATGTAATCAAACCAGTCAAGCGATTGATTCATTTGCTTGATTTTCAGTAAAACTGAATTATGATTTCTCTCGTGAATAATGATCGATTTATTTGTGTCATTGATGGTAATTATACATCATTAATAAACTAGATTGTTCTCTTCTAACTAGTAATTTGTCTTTCAGAAGAGAACATCAGAAAAATACCATTATTTCGATGGTACGATCAATTTTATTTAAAAAATGTAAGGATTTTACATACATTTAGCTTTTCTCATTTTAATGAAAGCTTGTATAGCGTAATGAAAAAAGGTTTGAGAAATAATAAAAAGTTCGTGTTCTCTATCGGTCTTTAAATCTTCAAATTATATTGAAAGGTCATTATTTTTATTAGAAAAACGCATTTTGTGCCAGTTTTTATCGCGATTTAAGGACACGCTTGGTTACACTCCTGAAATGGTCGTACTGACCCTCGGTAGAGCGAGAACGCGTCGCACAAACGTGTGTTCTCGATACCCCTTTTCAGCGTTCGATTAGTTCATGCGATTTTTTTTCAATCAGTTAAGCAACTTGATCGCAAACAAAAAGGTCGCCAATTAGGAATTTGATTGCTGACTTACAAATATTGCGTAATAACAATAAGAATCAAACCTCAGAGCTATTGTGCTTAAAAAATTATACTAGTAGAGATACGTATGCACATTTGTTTGCGATGTCTTAAAGCAGTTGAATAAGAATTTCGGTATATCTTTGCAATGTTTTAAATGTATTTTACGAAGGCGCTGTGTAATGTGAGTTGATATATTCCTAATTTTAAAATTAATTAGAGATGCGATAAATTAGTAGTTTTTTAAATAGGTACTTTAATAGGCACTTTGATCATTACATTAGTAATTAATTAACATGTATTTATACTACACATCTGAATTTGAATTTTAGTAGTTTCAAGTTAAAGGTGAATTAAGACACGATAAATACGAGACAAATACACGAATTAAACTCACAAACAGCGTGTCGCTTTACATACTTGACATATTGAGAATGAATATTTGTTATTGTTAAATATTTGCTTGCTACATCATATTTATGACTAATAGCCTATTTATAACTGTAAACTATTTATCAAAAGAAGCGGCCTCATCCTTTTCTACATCATCATCTATCATTTTTGCTCGTTAATTATTGCATAGTTTATTCATAGTAATTAGTCTTGTATCTTATTTTTCTATTTTGTTATTTGTTCCCTTTTCACCTATTTTTTTATACGTTTGTTAAGCACAAACGTTAATTGCTCGATTATTACACAGTAGATATAAAGATTCACTTATTCTGATTGAGAAAAATATAACTATTTGTCACTTGATTCGCCTCTATGTTAGCTTTATTACTCAGAAATATTCATGTATAATTCAAAATTCTTATTGTTCTTACGCAATAGCGATTTCTATTATCTCATTATAAAAGATGAACGTACGATTTGTTGATTTGCATCTCTATTCACGCAAACATCTTGTACACATTGAATTTATATCGTATAGATATCAATTTGGTGGAAATATTTCTTACGAACTTTTTATTATTTTCGACTCAGCATTAAACGATATTGGCGATATTGAACTGCAGTAATCCAACGTGATTCATAGACGATAAAACCAAAGTGACTGCAGTACGATATCGCGAACGTTTCTTATTAGTTACGTTATTATTTTGATAACACATCTTATTGCTTGACTTGACATATTCGAGACACAACACAGTGTCCTTGCATTTCTGACATTAATGATATTTCTCGAGTTACTATATCTGAGTATTAGACAATTGAGTACTAAACTACTGTTTGCATTGCGAATGTGACAGTGCATCTTTAAACAATTAGTCAGAAGAAAGGTATACTCTAGGCGTTTCTTGCATTGTCAGAAAGTTCAATAAAGCCAAAAGTTCACGACGTTAACGCACTTACTTGGAGTTAAATCCGCCTCATTCTCTCAATTTCAAATAATAGTATTATTTTCGAAACACAAACTGAATACACACGCACAATCACCGCTAAAAGAATGTTCCATTTCATTTATGACAATGAGATTTCATCATTGCGGATGCTGATTCTTGTTTTTGTTTACACAATGTGAACGTGACATCGCACAAGATTTATTTTCGTGTATCTATTGATCGAGAACTGATTCACTGAAACTATCGTTCTAATCAATTTCTCAATCTTATCATTGATTAGAATTAAAATGCATTCTTTATTTTTATCTTGTTCTTCTATTCTTGACGCTCGCGATTTATCGAATATTGCGAAAGAGAGATGATTGTGTACAATTTCAACTTTATATTAATCAGATTTATTTTGCGAAAAGCATTTAATCGTTGCTTTTTGAATATACAATTTATTTATGTAGTTGCTTTCCCCACAAGTCTATTTCTGGAACGGTTTTTAGTCAAAATCGTCTTTAACATGCTTCCAAAATGCTGTATATTTATAACTGTCAAATAAAAATTATAAATTTACCTGGCATGTTGAAGTACTTGAGAAGATATTGGATACAAGATTGGATTATGAAAGCACAGATTGTGCTTTCTGACGAGAAACGCAAATTGATTTCCGATTTTCGCAGTCCAATCTCATATTTAAAATACATACGGCTCAAGTTCGTAATCGCTAATTAAGGGAAAGATTTTTTTTCTTTGGTAATTTGCACAAATCTGTGTAGTATTTGAAAAGCGAACGAAAGACGATCTTGAATCGCACGATGAAAAATGTTCCAGAGGGAAATCCACGTGTGCGTTAATTTGTGTTCCTTGTTAGAACACAAATAGGAAAGGATGTCGAGGAAGCCCCTGGTGTGGCGCCTTCGGCCTTCTTACACTCCTGGCCGTGCTTTCAGTATAATGGCGGCGGCCATGCTGGGAAGAGCGCGCCGCGCCCGCTCGTCACAGTAGCTTTCAAAAACCGGGACACGTTCTCGCCGCATCGCCGACGTTTCCACCGGCTGTACGTCGACGACGACGCGTTGTATCCGCACTTCGGGCATCGGTGACACGTGCCGGGACGCGCGACATTCGTTCGTTCGCGTGCTGAAAACCGACAGCGCAGCGAACACGACCGCAAAGCGGCGGTGAAGAGAGCGAGTTGCGAGTGCGTGCGGCCAGAGAGAGAGCAAGACCCGGCCGTGTGTGTTCTCTAAAAATATAAATTCCGTGCCGGCATTGCCCAGCAGATTTCTTTCCGCCGTCTCTCGTAAGTCACCTCGATATTTCTCGTCGCCTTGTTTGCTCGCTCGCGTTTTAATTAGCGTAATCGCTAGTGCGCTATCGATCTCACGGATGGCAACGTTTCGAACTCCTCGCATTATTTGCATCACCCTCGACGACGGTCGTCGATCTACGCAGTAAATCGTTCGTTATTCGTCGCCTTCGTCGACCTCTTTGTTCTCGTGTCTTTCGCGCATGACTCTGTAAGAAATTCGGACTCTCCGACGATCACCGTCGTGTCATTGAAAATGTATCCACTTTAATATTAAACAAGTTGAGAAAATTTTATAAAAATATAATCAACATGGTGCAATTTCTGCAACTTTGCATAAATGGCGTAATTTTTTCAGTTGTTCTCATTTTTAGGAAGAACCAGCAACTCTGTCTGCGTTAAATGAGGGTGAATTACGTGCTTTGCTGGATGAAGCTATAACATACAAGTGCCCTAAAGATCGAGAGGGCAAATCTAATCTCTTTAAGGTATCTATAGTTTTTGAAACAACACTACTTGTAAACTGTTAAAAACATAAAATATAAACATGACACTATTTAAGAGCGTTAAAGAGCAAATATACAGAGCATCTGCTTTCTAGGAACTTTTACAAGAAGCAGAAGCAGATGAGACCGAGGAAGGACGTAGGGTAATATCTAATTCACGTTGTCTCCCTGGTTCAAATCGTAGAAGACATAAGCGGGAATCCGTTTCCGAGCGTTTGACACATGGTGGATCATTGCAAAATTTAGCTCAACCTCTTGCTTCAGAGTTCGATAGTAGCTTTGCTTATCTGACATCTAGTTCGTGTCATACTTACGGAAGCAGTAGGAGAAAGAACAAGAAATATACAGGACCTAGTGTCTCTGCTAGACAGAGGGAAGGTGGATCATTACCATCGAATGTAAATGCGTCACATAGCCTTGCTTCTTTGGCCAATCTAGATCTAATATTCGACAAGAAGGTATTTATAATTAAATTTGATGTATCTTTCCAATATTTAAACAAAATGTTTGTTTTATTAATAATGATAAGTCGTATGAAAAATACCTTTGAGAAATGTTTACATTATGAGATTTTGAATAGCTTATTAGCAATTTTTTTCATCTGTTTGTAAAGCGGAGTTTCTGTGAAGAGCGATCGGCATACGATTGGACCAATAAGGAAAAATCCAAATCTTTAGACAAACCATCATATACCAGTACAAAGAAGGAAGAAAAAGAAAAAGAGAAGAAAGACTCGAAAAGAGACACTGCTAGTTTAGGAGAGGCAGAATCTGAAATAAGAGAGAAAAAACTTAGTAAAGTAAAATACGGAACAAATGAGATGCTGGAATCAGATAATCCACCCCCGGAATATAAATCAGATTACATGGTGATCGATTTGGGCGATGTTGAGGTATCATTTGTGTTAAGTAATATTAGACATTTAAAAAATTGTTTTTTTTTTTTTTAATTTTTTAAGAACTTATTAAAGACTTTAATGAAGACGAAAAGGCTAGGTAAATGAAATAAGAGATATTCTTTCTCATGTGTTACAGGTAGGTGCTATCAGTGAGAGAAATGTTGGGTCTACAGCAAGCGGAGTTCAGAGACCACGTTCATTAGACACCGAAAACGATGAGGGAACTGAAATGAAAATTATTGAACCGCGTAAACCTATCCATTATGTCACACGGGCAACTATAGACTTAGCACATCAACAAATTCAACAAACTCAACAAACTCAACAAACTCAACAAACTCAACAAACTCCTGTGGACTCTGCTGTAGATTTCTCTCTTCGTGATCAGAAGCAAGAGAAATCAAAAATGTCCGTTAATGGTACAGAGGTGACGGGGGCTTTGTCATTCCAACCACACAACAGTATAAAATATGCTATAGGAGGCTCCAACAGTTCTAGCACTACCCAGAGCAAGATCGTGCCGAGTTTGTGTTCTGTGATGCCAACGTCTTGGCAAACGCAGAATATAACAATGGGTAAAATTACATATTAATGCATGTATATTATATGCGATATATATATATATATA